TTTTTTCAATCCTTATTATTGATTACTTCCAAATTATTCTTAAAGGGAAGCACCACGTGCGCCATTTTCCTGTTCAAAACCCTTTGGATATCACTATCAGGTAGCCATCTTAGCACGAGGCTAGAAGAGATATACAGTAACATGACCACCTCTCCACTCCCCATGTTAAATACCAGTGGTTTTCAGATTAAAATCGCAGAGTCCTAAACAGATTTTGTTTTGTTGATTATAGCATTTTTTGTTTTCGACATTAGAAATTAAAACTGAGAAACTGTTAAACATAAGAATACACTTTCCTAATTCCATTTGTCATAACAATGATGGCAGCATGATGTGATAACTGATGGATGAGTCTGCCCTGCATTACTGAGAGAATGAAGAGAAGCAAGCATCATCTCATTACCAGAGAAATTGTTTTGACCCTTGTAGAACTCTTGACAGAATCTCAGTTTCTAAAAAGATTTCCAGAGTGTAATTGGGGTACTGCTACTCAGTCTTAAGATCAAACAAAATTATATTAGTGTATGTTGCCTACCCATCCAATCTCCTGCCTTTACTACCTTCCCTGTCTGTGTCTCTTCTGTCCCAGTTCACATATTCCATGTCAAAAGATATCTTCCTAGATCAGCATTTCTCAATCTGTGGGTTGTGACCACTTTGGGGGTTGCATATCAGATATCCTATATATCAGATATTTACATTATGATTCACAACAATAACAAAATTGCAGTTATGAAATAGCAATGAAATAATTTTATGGTTGGGGGTCACCACAACACAAGGAACTGTATTAAAGGGTTGATGCATTAGGAAGGTAGAGAATGGCCGATCTAGAAAAATGACGTTAAATTCCCTTTCTTCTGTGCAGTTTTTCATGATACATCACTATTTCTCTCTCCTCCTCCTCCTCTCTTCCACCCTCTCTTTTCTTCCTTCCTTAGAATCATCATAGTACTTTATTACTATCTCTGTTATTTTATTTATGCATTTCTCCTCCCACTAGTTCTAGTTATGTATTAATCATTTTCTTTTCATGTTCCTATATGTTTTTGTCTTTCAAATTCAATCCACTCTTCTGTTAGCATTGATTTTCCTTTGGGAAAATGTCACTCCCTAAATGTGCACAGTTTAATGAAACTATCAATCAAGGGGCCCCACCCTTCCCTGGCTCTGCTCTCAGATTTTAATTGTGAGTGAACCAAATTGATTTGGCATCAACTCAACTTACAAGAGGTGCTCTAGTGCTAGTTGCTTGGAGACTCCTTTATGGCTCCCACAGCTGCCTTGCTCCCCTATCCTGGATCAACTTTCTTCTAAGTTCTCCGAGCAATCCAATAACCTTACCAGTTGCTGATGTACTAGAATAAGGTAATCCATTCTGCCTACTACTGCAGAAACCAAGGAGCAGAAACAGTTAATAAATCTTTAAACTGCAGATTCAGCATTCTGGGCAACCAGAAAATATTGTCCCTAAATCTGCCTTCCCTGATCCATCTCCAGCTAGCATACTTGACAGAACACCAGAACCAAGACAAGCTCCAAAGGTTAGTCTTTTCCCTCTGGTCAGGTGGTCAACCTTGAGTCTGACATTCATGACTGTAACACCTTTCTGTATAGTGGATGATTCACATACCCAAGGCTGCTGAGTCTTGCATTCCTCCTGAGTTTCCATCTGTATTACACCTAGGTTAAAAGTTAACTTAGAACAAACAAGCTGTTAGCAGTGTGGTATGCTAGGCTACTTACAATGTGGACATTCAGGCTCCTTTCTACATGATGAAATACAAATGTGCCCTTCTAAAACAGAATAAAAAGTGTCCCTCAGTAGCCCCATCAATGCTACTTTGTATCAAGGAACTCAAATAACCGCCTGCTTCCAAGCACCTATATAACATGTATTAAAGCAACACAAATGCAAGACTCTTACCAGTGTGAGCAAATGCAATCTTATTAATCTTTGTAAGCCAGTCAGTGTAGCACACATGTGCATGCATGTACATTCACATCACTGTATATAATACTCTAGCACACACATAGAGAGAAAGAAAATACCAACTTTATAAAGTTCCTTAAAATAATATATTATCGTCATAATCTTCTAATGTGATAGCATCATATCTCTACTTGAGATACCATTTGAGGATTATTCAGACCCCACAACTGGGAGAAATGACACAGTTTGAAGTTTTGACTCCTTCTTTATATGTAGAGGAAATTAGGTCCTAGAGCTGATCAAAGTCCCTACACCTATACAGCCACAGCATTATTTTGGTTGTCTATTGTTTTATATATGAGTGGCTGCATGTATGTCTGTGACCTTGTGGATGCCCTAGAACAAGAATTATAGTTATGAGTTATTATGCGGATGCAGGGAATTGAACCTAGAACTTCTGGAAGAGTGTGGTAGTTTGAATGTAATTCACCCCCATAATCTCATAAAGAATGGCACTATCAGGAGATGTGACTTTGTTGGAGTGGGTATGACCTGATTGGAGGATGTGTGTCACTGTAGGGACAGACTTTGAGGTTTCCTATACTCAGAATACTGCTCAGTGAGTCAGTCAGTCAACTTTCTCCCTGAGCCAAGCCTGCTACTACACCCACAGACTGCTGATGAAGAGACACCTAACTGGAGACAGCAAGATAAATGTCATATGTTCTCTCTCATCTGCAGTTCCTTTGGATGTGCACTTGCTCATCTTCAAATGTAAGTATGCAACTCCACCAAATAACCACAGAAACAAGGAACATATGAAGAGGGAGGGCAGAGGGAGGACAAAACAGAAGGAGCGACAAGTGACAACGTCAAGGTTGTTTGAGAAAGCTCAAGGAATCTTATTATTTCATATTTACCTAAAAATTGTAAATAATGCATACAAGTGCATGCTCATTCTTGAAGGAAATTTTGCTGTTAAGGTTAGCAACATGCCCCACAAAAATCACAGACTAACAAAAAACCCTGTACCAGGCGCAAGAACTATCTTTCAGAAGTTTATTAGGGTGGTCCAACTAGTTCCTAAAATAATATAGACCATGGCTGCTGCCCTCAGTTGCCTGTAAGAGTGAAGATATGTCTCTATTGCTGAAGATACCACCCACGTAGGACAGAGAACTAGGTTGATATGAGCCAGATATAATCTGAAAATCTCCTTCCTGTATTCCTTTCATGGTACTAGAAAATACTGTGCAAGCTGCCAAGAGAGAAGCAATTAACAGTACTATACACCTGTGACCTACAATAATGACCAGCATGACAAAGATATCCATAGAGGTGAAGTGAGTGGCACTTACATATTGGTGAACCAAGAGGATGAAATATATGCCTGGTACTACAAGCTTAGCCAACTTCCCAGGTGTTGTGTGACAAGACTCTTCCTGGGGAAATGCTATAAAAATGTCTACTCATCCCAGACAGGGATCCCAAGACAGACCAAACTATGGATACCACAAAAGTCCAACTAAGTGAACCAGTAAGTTTTATTGGGGTTACTTAAAGGAGTATGGGTTGGAGGTTACACACAGGAGCAGAAATGACTCAAAGACAACTCGATCACCAAAGCCTTCCCCAGCATGATAGACAACTCACAAATCTGGGAACCTGAAGCACACTGCATAGCCAGCAGGCAATTCAACAGGCTGCAGGGGATCCTTTCCAAGTGACTTGGTTGGTCTCCACCTCTTCCAGGCAACTGAGCTAGTTTTTTTACCTCTTCCAGCCAGCTAGTCTGGTTTCAGCCTTCTTTGCAGCTAGGCATGTCTGAGAGTGACTCTCAGCTAATTTATTGCTACTCTTGGAGGGTAGGCCCTAGAGAAACTGCTCAGTTTCAGAGACTTCCTGGAGCTATTTTGAGTTGTTTATCTTCCTGCTTAAGGAGCTTCCCTGTTGAGGGACTGTTTCAATCTTGGATGAAACTGTTACACAATACTGTGGTCAATGAAGTCATGAATTGTAAAAGAGATTCTAGTTCCCACACTTTGCTAGACCAGCACAATTCCTACCAACATTCTAAATTTATCCTTATGCTCACATCTCAGTGTAACTATCCAAGAAGCTTCTCTTTACAGCAAATCACACAGAAAACAACTGTACCCAATACAGAGATCAATAGTGGTCACATCTACATTACAGCTCTTGATGTATGGCTCAGGGAACACCACAGCAGAGGTGGAAGAGAGATTATAAGACTCAGAAAGAAATCAGCTTTGAAGTAGTCTTTCATCATAATGACAACATAAACAAGATTGGAACAAGGGCAATATCAAAAGACATGCTAATGAGGAAGTGGAGAAATCTCATAGGGTCATACCCCTGGGAAAGTAATTACAGCCAACTAATAACTGCGGAGAGAAGGAAAATTAGTCTCTCTCAGGGATGAGCTCAATAATTGCCTGTCCAAGACAAAATGGTCAGCCCTGAAACCATATACAAACAACAAGAAAGGGATACTTGTCAAGTTGTATTTATATACTTGTGCGCATGCATGTGTACACATGTGCATACACGTATGTAACAATAATGGGAGAAGAAAGCTGTCAATTTAAGAGCTGGAAGGCAGAATTACCATGACAATGCTTAGAAGAGACTGGAGGGAAGAAAGGGAAGGAGGAAAGTGATATTATATTTTAATTAAAGGATTTAAAATAAAGTGTAAGACAAAAGAAAATTTGTGCTTCAAAATAAATAAATAATAAGATACAACACAAAAGAAAACATGCTTCAAAGACACTACCAACAAAGGTGAAATAAAAGTAAGGGAACCAGCAACAGGACAGGAAAAAATACTTGCAATCATATCTGATAGAGAACACTGGTCTGAGAAATATATTTATTTATTCAGATAGAGAGATCTTCCAATTTGATAGTAGAAAGGTAAATACACCAGTTTAAAAAATATCCAAATATACTTGTCATTCATGTTTAGTTTATCTATGGGAAGGAAAAAATGTTTCAAGGTATAAAATAGAGGAGGGGAAAAGGGTGCCGAGACAGAAGGACTCACCTCACTTTCCCAAGCCAGCAAAAGTACCGAGTTAGTAAAGCACACCGCTGGAATGAGGGTGGCAGAAAACTTTTTCGTCCTATTCACACTTCTTAACCTTTTCTTGCTCATGAAAATCATTGGGAATAAACTGTGATCACTTCCCAAAGTTGTAGCTTTTTCAGCTCAGGTTACATGTGCCATGAGTGAACATGTCCATCAACACTCCTATAATGAGTGATGCTGGCAGTAGACTTTGGAAGGGGAAGCGATCTGCAAAGATATTCAGCTACTCAAAAAGAAAAAAAAAAAAACAGTATGAACAGGAAGCTAACTGTGACTAACCGCTTCCCACTCCAAGTTGCTTTGGTGTTGTTGTTGTTTTTTTTCCCCAAAGCAATGAAAATCCTCACTATTCAAGCAGTTCTGCAGCATTCTTATAAAAGAAGCACTATAAAGGCACGTGCACTCAGTTTTTATACCTTGCATTTTTTCTTCAAGCACTGGTTACTAACTTCTGGAATAGGTTTATTGGAATACTGCATTGAAATTCACAGACTTAGGCATTGCTGTTATCAATGCGTTCACAGTTTCAGCCCTAAGTTTGATTACTTTTTCCTGTCTAAACTTTTGCAATATTGCTTCTTACTGTTTTTCTAAAGCGTTCATGTGTATAATTAGGTTATTAGGTTTTTTTTAAATATAGGCACTCTGAAAGTCAGAATGGCTGGCCTGGATGGAAACTCCACAGGCTCTGCAAGATCAGATGCCAGCCCAAACTACTATACGCAGAAAACTTATCAAACACAATGAAAGGAAGACATTTTATGATAAAAAAATTTGAGAAAGTTCTCACCATCAATCCAATTCTACAGAAGATACCAGTTATAGATCAAAGAAGACACAAATAATAAGTAATCCCAGAACAGCTAGCCAAAAGATGTCTAAAAAATAAAAACAACAACAGCAGCACAAGAAAATAATACAAATTATTAATAGGTACTCCTCAATAATAACTGTCAATGCTAATGGTTTTAATTGCCCTAATAAAAAGATATAGATTAATAGCTGAGACTAGAAGATAGGATCAACCTTTCTTCTGCCTCTAAGAAACACACCTCATCATCAAGGACAGACACCATCTTAAGGTCAAAGTATAGAGCAATTTATTTAAACAAATGGAACCATGAAGCAAGCAGGCATGTTTATGTTAATATCTAACAAAAATACTTCAAAAAACCTAATCAAAATATATAAATGAAGACACTACATACTTGCTCATTAAAGGAAAATTCCACCAAGAGGATATCACAATTCTAAACATGTATGCACCAAACATAAGGGCAACCAATTTTACAATAGAAGCATTACTTACATCTAAAATCACATATTGATCATTACAGTGATAGTGGGTGACTTCAATATCCCCTCTAACTAACAGGAATCAAGAAGGGAATTTAAAGCCTTTTGGAACTGAATGAAAATGAAAACATGACACACTAAATCTATGGGACACAGTGAAAGTAGTTTTAAAAATAAAGCTCTTAGGGATAATTGACTTGTACCATTTAAATGCTATACCCAAATAAAATTTTTATGAAGAGAAAAAAATAGGTGATGAAAATGTGATGGAAGACACTTATAATTCCAGGTTTTAGGAGTTGGAAGCAGAAGAGTTCAAGGCCAGGCTAGTCTACATAGCTTCGGCTACATGAACTTGCGTCTGAAAAAGGAAAAGAAAAATATGGAAAAGACAGCAATACTAAGGCCTTCAGATGAAGGCTGAAGGGCAATTTAACAATGGAGAACAGTGGCAAAGATTTCAAGGTGTGGGTAAGAAAATGTTTACTGAAGGGGTGGAGTGTTGTTTCAAGTGCAAGAGTTTCCTCTATTTTGTATACAAGATTGGGCAAACCACAGCTATCTCTATTTGTATATAATGTTTTATTGAGGCACAGCCATGCCAGCAAAGCATGGGCACCCTCTTTGTGTGCTATGGCTGCTTTCCCAGGCAATGGAGAATTGTGTAGTTGCAAACTTACCTTATGGTCAGTAAACCGTAACATTAACCACATGTTCCTGCCCAAAGATGCATGTCTGGTCCTTACTACTAAGTTTGAAATTTACCCCAAAAGTCTATGAGCTGCAAACAGTCCCCCTTAATTCATGTGTTAACACTCCTTAAAGGTGCCATAGGAAGTAAATGGGATTGGCTGAGGACAAAGGGTGCAGTGGCATTATTGACTTTACAAGGCAAGGATAAGAACTGAGAACCTTTGCTCTGAGTCACTGTGTGCTGTCTCTACCTTGTTGCTGATGCAGCCTGAGGCTTTCTATTCCTGATAAATTACCTGGTTGAAGCTTTTTTTCTTATAGGAAGAGAAAACAAACGAAGACCCCTGCTATGTAGAGGTGCCACCACTGAAGGTTTTCAGAAAGATAATCGTGGTTACCAGCCAGGAAGAAGATCTGAATGGAAAGAACAGGGAATCACATTGCCCTATGCCCTATTCTTTTATCTCTCCTGACCCCAGAACTGCATCTTCTTCTTAGAGAAACAGGAGGCCCAGACAGGAGACAGGAGCAGCCCCTGCTCAAGTCTCCATACAGCCCAGAAGATTACAAGCCTTTCGTCTTAATATTTTGAAGTCAGTAGCAAAAGAGACAAATGTCAACTTTTCAAAAAATCATAAGAAGAATGTATAAAGACTTATTTCATTGCACACTCCATGTTTAATACAGTTCCTAGTGATCAGCCAATAGTGGCTGGCTGGCTGGATGAATGAAGAATAGTAGTGATCACCAATTACTATAGCAATCTCAGTATCTACTTTTTTTATTTATTAAGGGGCTCCTCTGAACCTGTTTCCATGTTTATATAGAATCAACAGATGCTCCTTATTTGTCTGCAGCACCTTTTGGCTTTCTAAATAGAACACGGTGTCAGAAGCTAGTAGCCACCAGTGATCCCCTTGAGACTCAACGGAGATGCAGATGCTGTACTGTCCTCCACGGAAGCTTGGTTTCCAAGAAGTATGCTTCTGCCACTTTGTCCCACATGGAGAATTAATTCAACCTGTGTGCCCTTTTCTCCAGAAGACAGAAATACAACATTAGTTTCAAACCTAGGTGTGGCCATTACTATCAAAAGTAAGCTAATTAATCAGAATCTAATACGACAATGCTGGAAAGAGATTTCCTGAAGAAAGCCACAGCATTCAAGCCAAGATATGCCTACGCTTTCTGGATGGGGCCAGTGTAGGTGGATTCCCATGATGCCAGTTATATACCTTGGGTCAGGGCACTCAGTAGTCTGAAGGCAGATTCTGGTAAGAGACTCTCCCAGAAAAACAGGACGTGCACTCTACCTGCTCCACTGGTACACACTGTTTGCCTCTACACACCATCCTGTAAGTAAAGATAGACTAGATCAGTGGTTCTCAACTTTCTGAACGCACGGACACTTTAATACAGTTCCTCATGTTGTGGTGACTGCCATTCATAAAATTATTTTGCTGCTAAATTATAATTATAATTTTGCTATTTTTATGAATAGTAATGTAAACATCTGATATGCAGGATACCTGCTAGGGGTTGAAACACACAGCTTGAGAACTGCTGGTCTAATGGCCTTGACTTTACTTAGTTCTTCAAATGAATTGGATTTAAACACTGCATAGGAATTTTGCTATTAGGGCTGAAAAGATGACTCACAATAAAAATATAAGAGAATATGCTACTAAATTTTCAAGTTTTGTGGTATTGTTAGCTCTTTTAAGGATAAGAAGACCCAGGCGGTAGCGGCATATGCCTTTAATCCCAACACTTGGGAGGCAGAGGCAGGCAGATCTCCGAGAGTTTGAGGCCAGCCTGGTCTACAGAGCAAGGCTCCAAAGCTACACAGACAAACCCTGTCTCAAAAAACAAACAAACAAAAATAGACAAGGACAAATTTCAAATGACCTTGACTAACAAGAAAAATGTTATTTGCTTTATTATTTATTTCATTTTATTAAGAGATTTTTATGTGTGAATGTTTTGTCTTTGCCCATGGAAATCAGAAAAGGGTATAGATCCCCTGAGACTTGACTTACAGATAGTTGTAAGCCACTGTGTGGGTGATGAGAATTGAACCCAGAGCAAGCAAACCTCTTAACCAACAAGCCGTCTCTCAAGCCCCCAAGAAAGATGTTTTTTAAAAGTTATACTTGTCTGGAATATCAGTAAGTTATAGACTTCTTGAGTAGTATCCATGAGGCTCTGATTCCATTTCAAGCACCACACACACACACACACACACACACACACACACACACACACACACACACACACAAATACACCACATACACCAATACATCACACATGCACACACAAAACCAATACACCACACATACCAATACACCACCCACACACATATACACACATCACATACACACACATCACACACACACATCATACACACACACATATCATACACACACACACACACACACACACACACAATCTTTCATACCCTGAACCATCAGATGACCTTTCACAATCAGCACATGATTCTCAAGGGTAAAAAATAATGCCCATAGAGGAAAAAATGATACAGGATATAACCAGAACCTCAATCAGGCAAAGAACCCTTAAGTTTGTGAGAATGGAGTCCTCCAATATTTAAATATCTAAATCCAGTATCTAGATCTATTGATTTAGTTCTAATTAATTATATTTGTTTTATGAAATTGGGTGTGCCTGTTTGGTGCATACATGATTAGAATTTTAGTATTTACATTTTTGGAGACCCCTTATTTGATCCATGGACTGTCAGAAGTGTACTGAATATTTTAGGACTTTTCATATTCTTTCTGTCCTGGTTTCTAGCTGACTGTTTCCACTGTAGCACATGGTTTAACATTTCTCGATTCTCTTTTACTGGCATCTGGTTGTTGTCCCACAGCTTTGTATGTGGCAGCAGAGGTGGGCAGAGCTGTTGGGGCACTGAACAGTGCTCCAGCTCATCACTGTGACCATGGAAGAAGAAGCTGGAAGCAATGCTCACAAAATACATATCACAGGATGGTAGAAGCAAACTGTGGGGTTATCTCATTTACAGTCACCCTCAACAAATACCTGTTCAATTAAAAAAAATGACACTGTGGCTGGATGTTGGTGGAGCATGCATTTAATCCCAGCACTCAGGAGGCAGAGGCAGGCACATCTCTGAGAGTTCGGGCCAGGCTAGTCTACAGATCGAGTTCCAGAACAGCTTCCAAAACAATACAGAGAAACCCTATCTCGAAAAACAAACAAACAAAAAAATGACACTGTTATGTGGAGGAAAAAGGTTAAGGCCACATGTCCACTTCAGGTGTGAAAATAGTTGCATGTAGTGTAGGGTATCTCCATACAGACACCTGGACACAGGGACTTCTGCTACAGGGCAACTGTGACTTTCAAGTCAACACAGGTAACCTCCTTTGAAAAGAATGGTAGAAAATATGTCAGCTGTGAGGTCTTACAAAGTACAGGATCAAAGGAGAGAGAGTAAGCTTTAATTGAGCAACTAAAGCAAGTTTGGAAGTTGCCAGAAGAGATTAACACATGATCCAGTTTGATTTCCAAGATAGCCAAGGACACTGAGGAATGTAATTTGCCTCCATGCAAATATATCTATCATGGGATAAGATAAGTATAAACACATGCATAAGCTCTAGCATTAGACTTTTGCTCTGTCCCTTCTGTATGTGAGTGTTGATGAATGTGCTCTGAAAAGACAGGGAAAGAACCAGTCTTTGCAACAACTTAGTCTGAGGTAGGTGGGTGTGTTCATCTCCTTGTTTTTATTTAATAGTGTTGATGGGAGGTAGGTAGCATATATTACATTTTATAGATGTAAAACGTCATTCTCAAAGAAGGTCCAGCTGGATACGTGAGATCCTGCAGCCAGCTTGCTAGGTTCCTCATTACTGAACCCAAGCCTATTTATTTACCAGTAGAGCAGGACCTAAGGAACTAAGGGGCTAGCTGTTGTGAAAGGAAAAAGATTTCTTCAGAAAGCCAGCAAGGCTAAGATAGATAATGGACTGTTGTTCTGAAATTCCCTTTTAACTCACACAGGTTTTAAGCTTCTTTTCACTATAGATGGGGAGGATGGGAGTTAGTTTACTTAGTTAAACGTGGTGGCTAATAACTTGTTAGTTTGGCACATCTTACCATCATCAGTCTTGAACGGCAAACACTGGGGCATGGATATCAGCTTCGTGAATAACTAATGAGTACTACACTCAGCCAGTCATGGGGTTGTTTCTGAGCAAACGCCAGAATGTGGAGGCTTTGGAGCTCTTTTGTTTTTTAGATGTAAGCATGGCGACACCCGAGTGTTTGCACATTTTAGACTCTCTGTCAGACTAGGGGTGGGAGGAGACCCAAGCAGCAAGAGCATGGAGCTCTGCTACAAAGTCAGCAGGCTGAGCACAGTGGGGTACTAGGTGGTCACAGAGAGGGAGGAGCAGGGTGTTTGCCTCTATGCATTCATCTAAACAGCCTTGAGTCTGCTGGTACTCAAGGTAGTAGAGATTTGTATCTCAGTAGTCACTATACAGTGAGAATTACTTCCTCACTGGGTAGATATCAAGGTTTGTTTCTTGTTGTCTTGAGTCTTCTGGTTGAGGCTGCAGCTGCCCACACTAACAGCAGAGCCTTCTGGATTGCTGGCCACCTGAGGAAGGTCAGGTACTTTCGGCAGGGTAGAATTTGAACCTCTGTGCTTGCCATACCCAGGAAATGCTTTCCTGCTTCCTCTAAATGTACTTTTGTACTCCCGGAACTCTGGGGCAGTCCAGCTGCAGCTTGAAGGTAAGAACACAGCTTATTTTAAATGTCTGGTCTAACTTGTTGGTGTGTGTTCTTAATCTTTAGCCATGAAAATGCTAATGTAGAAGTAGCTTGGCTCAAGCCAGAAAGATTCCAAGTCTTAAGAAACCTGAGAAAAAAAACAAAGGCATGTGAAACCAACACTGGCTGTGTTCAAGTTAGAAATTCATATACACTCTTCCCCAGGATACGTTAAGCACCCTGATCTCCCCACCTCCAGCAAGCCTCTCCCTTTGCCAGCCAACTAGACTTCTCTGGCTATGACTGTTTCTTCTCCCCACAGGGCCCTCCATTTGTCCCAGCCTTTGGCCACCGCTCAAGCTGAGTCTATAAAAGGGACTTTCCTGGGTCCCCTGTTCAAGGTGGTTGCCTGGTAAAGGATCTGTAAAGCTTACATGCAATGTAAGACCTACTGGAGAGTGAGGGTGGAGGACCGCTGTGTGTTTGAGGCCTGTCTGGAAGACAGTATGAGACCCTGTGTCTCAGAAAATGAAGCAAAAGGCTAACTGCTTGGAAAAGAGCAAGGGCTTCTGCTGAGAGAGGTTGTCTCACAAAAGGTGACCTGACAGGATGAAAAGGTGGCCCAATTCTAAAAATTGCTGGGACCATAGCTGATGTAACCCATCAGTTGAGGCCAAAGGGAGGGTGATAGTGCCTTGAAGTTTCTATAGGGACTCACAGCATTGTCTTCCTTCCAGTGATACCCACTCTCTCCACCCTTCCACTGCACCTCCTGCCCCCAGGCGGCCAGCAGGTTCTACCCAGTGGGCCTCCAACACAGTGGATGGGGACACAATGCACTAAGCAGCAAGCACTTTGAATCCACTGCAGGCCCTGGGCAGCAGTAGCAGGCTCTAATGGCTGTCTTTCTCTCACAGCCCTTGTGTGCTGTGGCCACCAGACTAGCCATGTGCCTCTTGACATTCCATGAGGTTATCAGCACTAGAAAATGCCAGCATTAGATATACCTAACCTGCCAGGCCCGGGGCTCAGGCTGGAGAGTCAGTCAGTTGTTCCCTGTGATAAGATGCTGTCTAGCATCAGGAGACAGGCCTGGACTACACACTAACTGCAAGTCTGGGAACAGATTCACATTTGAGGATCCGATTTCTACTGAGTGTCCCTGGCTCTATGTGATAGTACGTGTGGTAGCACATGTAATGGTACACGCGTGTAATCCCAGCATTTGGGAGGCAGAGACAGAAGGACCCTGGCAAGTTTGAGGCCAACTTGGTATACATGGTAATACATATCAGGACCCTGTGTATAACAGAGGAAAAAAAAGCCTGGGTTTCTGAATGCATACTTTTTCATTACTGTTGTTTCATTTTGATGTATTGAAACAGTCTCCCTGTAACCCAGATTGGCTTCTGGCTCAAAACCTTCCTGCCTAGTTTCCCTCATGCTGCTTGCCATCACACCCCGTTGATCATTTTAAGTCCTGGAGGTCAGAAGTCTGAAGGAGCACAGGTTCTGGGTAAATCAAGTGGCAGAGTTGCACTCCTGCAGCTTCTGGAAGAGCATCCCTGCTAAGTTCATCTGCTGCTCAGAGGCCTTTGGTTCTATGCAGGCAAAGGACCCAGGCTGCTGTTGAGCTTCTCAGCTTCTAGAGGCCTTGAGAGCTGGTTATCTTTGTCTCTGAGCTGGCAGTCTGACCAAGTCAAACTACTTTCTTCGTGCCCCCTCATCTTTCACTAGTGCTCTGTTGGAGATCACGATGAGGACATCTTTGTGAGCCATAATGTTGCATACCACAATTTGTATTTGAAAAGGACAAATATACATTACATAATAACAGATCCTGGGTGGTATAGTCTTCTTGGTGCCAATGGGAGCATTGCAAGGGATTTTCAAATTTCAATGCACAATTCATACCTACAACTTAAAATGAAGCAATTTTAAAAAAAAGATGATGGGTTTGTAGGCAGATATTAGCCGAGGTCCGCCACAAGCCTTTGGTCCTGTGACTTATAAACCTTCCCATATTCAGAAAAATGATAATTATTTCTTTGTGTCAAAATTGTGATGTGAATTAAAAAAGGAGGGAAATTTGGGACAGGACCTAATAAATGTCAAAGAGAAGTACCAATGATCCAAACCAAGTGGGGTAGCTTACACTTCTCACCTCAGCACAGAGGGAACTGAGGCAGGAGAACTGTGAATTCAGTACCAGCCTGGGATCTGGGGCAGTAAATTCTGGGGCATCTTGGGATATGTAGAGAGTCCCTTTCACACCCCTACCCCAGAAAAGGATGAGGAGGATGAGGAGGAGGAGAAGAAGAAGATGGCAATAATCTACCTTCTTCTGCTGAAGCTGACTACACCACATCTCAGAGTGTCCTTAGAAGGCCAGCCTCTCTGCCATATTATTACAGCTACTGCTTACATTTGAAATGTTTTCAAGAGGAATTGCCTGTTTCATTTTCTAAAAGTACTGTGTCTATTCTAAAGAATCCAGCTGTCTCTGAGAGCCTAAGTCACCCTGAAAGCGACTGGGCATATTGTTTTTTCTCTTACTCCTTGGAGTAGATGAGCTAGTCTCCTTTATTCAATTTCCAGAAATTATTTACTCTTACACTTTCCATGAAGACCCTTCCTTTTTAATGTTCTGTGGCTCAAGTTATGTAATAATTAAAAATGAGTAGTGTATAAAGGTACTCAGCTCAGCACACTGTAGCAATCACTGAATGTCACCTTGTCCTTTCTCTGTGCAGCAGTAGTAAATGTCTTCAGGAATTGCAATATTCACTTAATCTTGAGTATTAGAGCCTCACTCTTCCTGCTCTCCTTTTTGTGTATTTCCAAGTCTTCTAGGTATAGCAAACAACAGCAAACAAATAATACAAAAACATGCATCTCTCCAAAAAAAAACGGCAAAGTAGACTAGAAGCACATGGGATGATATTCATGAAGAAAAGGCCAAACAAATCTATTGGGATGGATATTTAGTCAGTTACATTACATGTCAGGGACAATTAGAGAGTCCTATACACTGCTGGGGGATGTCTCAGATGATAATAGCCAATGAAGAAAGGTGCTATTAGAACTTCTCAAAAATGTAAACATTCAATCCTGCAACTGTGCTTTGAGTTGTATACTCAAAAATATGAAAATCGGGGCTTAGATATTTGTCTACTGTGTTTATAGTGGCGTCGTCCATAGTACCTAAAAGAAGGCACTCAGGTGCCATGGATAAGCAAATGGATAAAACATATACAAGCAGGCATACGATAAAAGTAATAATTAGGCGCCGGGGGTGGGGGGTGGGGGGTGGGGGGTGGGGTGGGGGAGTAGGGGGTGGGGTGGGGGGTGGGGGTGGTGGTGGCGCACGCCTTTAATCCCAGCACTCGGGAGGCAGAGGCAGGCGGATCTCTATGAGTTTGAGGCCGGGCTGGACCGATAGCCTCCAAAACAATACAGAGAAACCCTGTCTCGTAAAAACAAAAAACAAAAAACAAAAAACAAAAAAAACAAAAAACAAAAAAAAAGTAATATAGGTGATCTGCAAGAACATTAAACTACATTTAAAAAAACCATTCACAAAAGAACAAAATCTATTTACTTATCTAAAGCATCTAGAGTTCGAGGAGCTAGAAAGGGAAATGGTGGTAGCCAGGGACCAGAGACTTAGCATTAATGGGCCCCTAGTTTCCATCTACGAAAGTGAAAGGTTTTCTGGAGATGGAGGGTGATGGACATATAACAGTGAGAATATTACTAACGCCACAGAGGTAAGAGTTCTTTTCATGCTGTTTATGCTTTTTCATGGTATTTTAAAAATCTCATTCCATTCTTTTCTCACAGGAATTGGACCCTCCACCCTGAGACACTATGGCCCAGGTCCCAGAATTGAGTAAACCAACAACATGGAAAGGGATAGCGGAGATAGCAGGGGTCCCCCTGTCAGCTGACACTGTGGACAACTGGAGCCAGATTCAGACCTTCAAGGCCAAGCCAGATGACCTCCTCATTTGTACTTACCCTAAATCAGGTAACTCAGCAGAGTAACAGCTCCAGCCTCCCCCTGTGAGCCATCTGAACTCCTTGCCTTGTTAGAACTCCCTGAAATGGCTCTGACCAATGGTGAGCTCCATCTCAAATGTCTGTAGTCCTGGGTTTTCTGAAGCTCACTCTCCTCTGCCATTCACTGGTCCTCAGAAGAGGTGAGTTTTACCGCTGCAGTTCTGCTCTCCTCAGAGATCCAACGTCTTCCTGCTATAGCTAACATGATCATGGTTCAAGTGGAAGGTGACCCCATGTCCCTTCTTCAGAATGTTTGAAGAAAGAATAATGGGTTTAGGGCACTTTCTCTTCCCTGTCTCCTCAGGGACAACATGGATTCAAGAAATAGTGGACATGATTGAGCAGAACGGGGATGTGGAGAAGTGCCAGCGAGCCCTCATTCAACACCGGCACCCCTTTATTGAGTGGGCACGGCCACCCCAGCCATCAGGTAAGAGCCCCTGACCCCTTATGTTTTCCCCTCCTGTCTCGTCTCTTTCCTTGTCTTGCCTGTCAATCTTTCCTCCTCTTCCTCCTCCTCCCTCACACCCCACCCCAGGTTTTTGAGGCAGGGTCACCATACACAGCTCTGGCTGTCCTGTAACTTACCATGTAGACCAGGCTGGCCTCAAACTCACAGAGATCTACATGTATCTTTATTCTGAGTGCTGAGTTAAAGGTGTGTATCACTATGCCCAAATCTATCTCTTTTCTTGTATTTAATCCCATAAAACGTGAGTCAGTAAGGAAGACAGATGTTTGTAAAGGTGAGATTCTTTCTCACTTTTTTTTAAATCACATTTTTGCTCTGATTAGGTGCAGCTGTAGAACACTGGAAGGTGCAAAACTCATCAGCAGCTCACACACTTCTGCTCTCATACCCTACCCTATTAGCTCACACACCTCTTCTCTCATACCCTACCCCATTATAACCAAGCGCTTCCTGGATAGTGTCTGATAATTCACACATCACACACACACACACACGGTGTCCATTACTTTTACCCAGCTGTAAAGCTTTTTTTCACTTAACACTTAACCTGATGATTTTTCTCTTCACACATGGGGTAAAGTTCACCAAGACAGTCAGAAGACAGACACCAAGGCAGGGCCTGATCTTCCTCAGTCATCACATTGCAGAGTCATGGTAACAAAGGCTGTGAGGGGAAGTCAGGGCCATTCTAACGTTGAAGTGTGGTGCTCTCAGAAGAGTCATTGGCAGGTTCTGATGGGTCCTTCCAAATAAGACAGGAAGTCCTTGAGCAGATGCACTTGGGAACCTGTGACCCAGGCAAGGAGATGTCTTCAAGTCAGGATATCCTTTCTGCCTGTTTCTAGAAATCTTTGACTGTGTAGGTGGCCACTTGCTTTGTAGTCCCATGTCTGGTCCAGCCCTGCTGTGACCCCTATGTGGGGTGTCACCCCAGCCTAGACTACCCTGACTGTGATTGTTTTTTGGGGGTGCCTGAAATCTCCTAGGTTGCCTTTTGTAACTCCCCTTCATGTAATTTGCTTCCTTATTTCTTCTGAAGTGACTTAGGGCATTTCCCTTCTAGAATAGTTTCATTTTTGGAGCAAATAGATATTGTGATATGACGCCTATTCAGGAAACAAGAGGCCAGTGAGTGGTTTCACGCTCTCAAGGAAGAAGAACTTTATGCATCACAGTCAAGGAAGGCACAAAGAAATTACAAGTAGATCAAGTTTTACTCTCTTACCCTTTTCAGGAGACAAGTGTTTCACCACACACACACACACACACACACACACACAGAGAGAGAGAGAGAGAGAGAGAGAGAGAGAGATTTCTGCACTGTGTTCCAACCATCTGGAGGCTAGAGTGATCAGCCTCTCCCCCACAGTGGTCACTGCGCACAACTCCTGGGTCCACAGAGGGCAGCTGTCAGCATAGCCTCTCCTGCCTTTCTGCCGAGCAGGGCCACTTCACTCTGGCCCCCAGGGGGTGTGTCTCCTTAACTAACAGTCACTTCTGTTCTGCCTTCTCTGAACTTTTAAATCAAGCCAGGCTTCTTTCCTTCCACATTTCTTTCTGTTTTACTTGCTCTCTTTCACTGTGGAACTGAGTTACAGCCATGAGCAACAACCATAATATGACACTGTCCAGTCTTGGGATTTCCTTGCTAAATAAATTAGCGCCTTATTTATGAATTCAGCCCCACTGAGATTCTTAGGGCAAGAGCAGTATGTGGGCAGACTCTTCACAAAATGTAATAAAATAGCCTCTAGCCAAGTTCTCAACAGAGCTCTTTAGAAACGTCATGGGCTGGGCCTCCACTATCTACTCTTTTCTTGGCATTCTGGTCTTCCAAATCTCTACCAGAATGGCCTATATTAAGCTCTGCCTATAGTATTTTAGGATGTTTGTAGTGTGAAATGTAACTTTCAGCTCACATTATGGATTTGTCAAGAAGTTGGAGGCAGCTGATCACATTGCATCTCTAGTAACTCACCTTTTCCTTTCTATTTAGTCTACTCCCCATCCCCTTTCAGTGAGTCTTTCTGGAAACTCCATCATAAACATACATACCAAGGGATATACTTCATAGTGATTCCCAGTTCTATCAAGTTGACAATGGAAAGTAACCATTACACCTGGTCACCTTCCAGACCTCACATCATGCATGCAATATGGTATGTCACTTCACAGCATACCCTGTTGCACATTTATAATTAAATGCCACTTATTACCAGTCATATTTCTAGTTTTTATAAGTGCCCTCCTCCATGTGGCAGGCTTTCTGATTCTTCATGTAAAAGAATCTTTACCATCACCTATGGATCAGAGCCCAGATTCAAATGTGCCACCTAACAGCTTGAATTCACCCCAGTACTTGAAGCAACTTTAGTCCTCAGGAGCAATCCTTCTCAGCTCCCAGTGGCATTATTTGCAAACAGCTGACTTCTCGATGAAAGAAACACCATTAGAGTTTGCATTCTCTTTATCTCCCCTTACCTCAGTTTAACCCAATGATTTCACAGAGCAAGTCCCTGTAAGGGTTGTAAATAGGAGTGCAAAACTCATAAACCATGTGTCAGCAAGCATGATTTTTGCCTCACAGATAAAATGTCACAGCATAGAACCAGAGAGAGGTTTAGCTCTGACTGGCAGGGAGATGAGAAGGACCTGCTTTCTGGTCCTGACCGGCTCTGCCTCGGTAAGACACACTTGTCTATTCTCAGCTTCCGGCTTATCATCCTCAAAGTGACAGACCAAACCACTTGAGATGCCCATAAAATGCACTCAGGTTTGGGGGTTTAGAGGACACTGAGAATAATTTTATTTGAGACTAAAAGCTTGTTAAAAGAATTGCTAACACCGTAGACACACAGACAGACAGCAGCATGGAAGGGCTCTGATGAGAACCTAGGTGACAAGGTAGGATGAGGGAAGCCCCCCCCCCTTTTTTATGTCTCCTTAGTGTTGTCCCATTCTCACTGACTCCTGTTTTCTAGAGTGGCACCTAGAGGAGCAGTGAGTGTCTGACACTATGAGTTATCCCCCAAAGCAGCAACTTTTACATACTGGCCTCAAACTCACAGAGATCTGCCTGCCTCTGCCTCTTGAGTACTGGGATTAAAGGCGTGTGCCACCACACCCAGCAGCCAGTGAAGGTTTTACAACTTGGATCCAACTTTCCCTGAGCCCATCCCCTTCCTCTTCTTAATCACAAGAAACCATGCCACCCCTAGTACCATGGCCCTGGGAAAGATGACAGATGAGACAGCTGAGAAGAGACACCAAAGGCCAATCCTGGGCATGCTTAGCCCTCAGTTTTCACTGGCTTCCCACTTCCCAGACTCTTCACACATGCGTGGGACATTGTGGTGAGACCAGGCTTCCAGGTGGAAAACACCCAGCCTCTACCACCATGAGCCTGCCCAGGCCAGGGTCAGCACTACAGTTAGCCCTTCCTTGCTGTAAGACAAAGGTTTAGACCAAAAGCAGCCTATCACCAACAAAGGGAAGGGGGCCCTTCTTATAGGTCTCAGAGGACATGGAAGGTTTCCCATTGCCAGTCTGTCTCTGATTAATCTACAACAACAGAGGAGAAGGAATTTCAGAGTAGGAATGTGCAACTCCAGTCATGTGTGTGGGCACATCTAGTTGGGGTTGTACCCATTGCACAGGTGAGTGTAGTGATGCCACTGGTGGTTCTCTAATATCCTGGGGTCTGCCATTCCCCTGGAGTTTGGGCGCCCAGGGAATCTGTTATTCTGTGGGCTTAGAGAGCCACATGTAAGTACTTAATGGGGCTCAACATTACCTGTATATAAAAAAAGGCTGATTCAGGTGGACATGGCCTGAGGACCAGTCTGACTTGGGTTTTTTTCAGTAAGACACAATTATTGAAGACCCCATGTCATCCCCTATAAATGGACAAAGTAAATTCCTTCAAAGTTCATATTCAGCTCTCTTGCTACATAAGCCTACCAACATAAAAGCAATACCAGGATTCCCTCTAAGCACCCTCCCCCCAAAAATAGGAAGATCCACGTGTGGATGATGGGTAAGGTGAGCATCACCTGGAGTAGAAGTTCCCAAGTGCTGAGCAACTCCTGAACTCTGTTAAAGGTGTGGATAAAGCCAATGAGATGCCATCTCCAAGGACATTGAAGAGTCATCTTCCTGCTCAGCTGCTGCCACCATCTTTCTGGACAAGTAACTGTAAGGTAAGACAACAGCAGCTCCCTGGGGACCTGGGAAAGGAAGCCCAGAGAACTATGCCTCCAGAAACTGGGTGAGAATACCTTCCTCGACATTATCTATTCATTACCTCAGAGTGCCAAGACTCGGCAGTAATGTCAAACACGAAGATCAACTCAGTAGAGCATCTCCCTGCTTGGTTTAAAATGTGGTGTGAAGAAGGAGGCTAGACAGAGTTGTTAAAGATTATCTATTCCTCAGTGAATCAGACTGGGCATGGGGTGGGGAGCAGGAACCATAGTGTAGCCTGTAGGACGTATGGGATGGAGCAAAAACAAGACTGAGCAGAAAAAGTGCAAAGAGTCGTACAGAATGGGAAAGCAAAGTACAGCCACAGAGCAAGAGTTTGTCTGAAGCCTCGGAAGCCTCTGGGCTTGTTTCCCTTTTTCTAGGACTGTGTCATGTACCCTAGAGTCTAGTGTAGTGCATTCTTGCCGCATAGAGGATGCTGGACCACGCTAGGTGTGTACAAGGATAGAACAACCCTGCAGTGGGTAGAACCCTGCAGTAGGTCCCAGGATGAGCTAATAATTGCTGAGAAGGATGTGATTTTCATGGGTTGGAATAAAGGAAATGAGGATAAAAATGGTCTAGAAAGATGACTCAGTGGTTAAGAGCACTGACTGTTCTTCCAGAGAATCCAGGTCCAATTACAAGCATGCCGATGACAGCTCAAAACAGTCTGAAGCTTTGGTTCTAGGGGATTTAATGTCCTCTGCTGGTTTCTGTGGGTGCTGCATGCTAGTGGTTCACATCCATGTAGGTAAATCACCCATATACATAAAATAATTTAAAAATTAGGTATTGTTTATAAAGGACTAAAAGATTTCTAGATAGGTGTATAGATGGGACTCATGTGAACAAATGGCTTGTTTCCTGACAGCAAAGCTGAATGAGGGGGCAAATTTTATTTCTGGCATTATTGATATTGAAAATCACAAAACCACTGATCTTAAATTGTCCAACTGAGACCAAACAAGGTAAGAAAGTCCCTGGGTTACAAAAATTAGAGAGGAAATAAAGTTCAGAAAGGAAAATTGAGTCTGGAGTTGTGCCAGAGTGTTGGATGCCCTGGGTAATTCAGCAACAGTTGCTTTGATATTTGCAAAGGGACTGGAACAGACCCTAAACACAAGGAGAGAGGAGAATGAGGAAAGAAAGCAGAGGTACCAAGGGCCAGAAAGAGGAGCTGTGTTCTGTGGGCCAGAGAATGGTCTACAATAGCTTTGTCTTCAGTTTTGAATGAGTTTATTAAATATACAGCAAGCCAAAGAAAAAAAATTAAGAATAAACAGCAAGCAGTAAACAGCAAGCAGATAGAAAGAAATAGACAGACAGACAGACAGACAGACAGCACTCTTCAAATCAGGTGCTCAGAGCACTCAACAGAATTGACTGGGCAAGTTCTCTTGAGGTAGTCAGCTGGAGTTCCCAACAGAGAGAGTGCCAGGCAAAGCAGAGTGTGTGTGGCCCTGGGTAAGTCTTCCAAATCAAGGAACAAATACCAGCAGAAAGAGGATATCACCAAAGTGGAACTCACAAACAGCCATCAAAAGTTGATTGATGAAGATCCATTAGGACAGACAGTTGGCTTACCCGTCAAGAGTTACAGGCAGAGCAGAATAGAGTTTCAAGGAAACAGACAAATAGCAACAGTCAGAGGTAACCCCTGCAGATCCTGAGCTCATAATGTCTGCCAGAAACTGACGGAGGAAATTGAGACATCAGCTGGAGTCCTGGGTTGAACTTTCTTCCTATGGCTTGAGCTTTCTCAGGTCTAAACTTCTGGCTTCTCTTTCCCAGTGTGTTAAACAAGGTACCATGTTACCAAGAACACAAAGTTTGTACTTAGGTATTTCTGCTGCCCCCTTTCCTCCCTGTCACAGAGTTGGGGGACCAGCCTATCCCCAGATAAAGGGTCTTGGAGAACACTTAGATAAACATGCTTGGGTGTGAAGTGGGGGTGCAGCAGCTCTGCTTCCTGGACCAGCTTCTCAGGTAGTTCAAATGACACAAGACAATTTACCAATAAAATGTATATTGTGAGCAGTAAAGGAGACCCTGGGCAGCTTCTCAGCAGCCTTGGGTCCTCTCAAAGGGTTTTACAATTAATTCTCTCTCCCTGCCCTGAACAAGACGCTACAGGCTCACTGCCAGAGTCACCATAGTCGTCTCAGCTCAGGCTCCCAGATTACTATTGTGCTCACTATCTTACATGTCAACATTCACAAAGGAGAGATCACCATAAGGGTGTATGCTGAAGGACCAGCAGAGTTAGCCTAAGAACTTCTGACAGATCTGTTATATGTAGAAATAAGAGAGTGTTAAATTTGTACAAAAAAGAACAATTGTAACAAAATAAGATGCAATTATAATCAGAATCACCAAATAGTATTTTATAATAGAACAGACACACACACAGACATACACACACACACACATATATATATGCATATATATAATTTAAAATTAAAAACCAAAATTAGCCTCTCATGTTATGCATCTGAATAGGAAAAAATAAGTGTGAACTTAGAAATGGGTTGGAATGAGGGTTGGGGAAAGAAGAGAGTCATGTGATGTGGCTGGAAGTCACACATATGAACAGGAAAGAAGACATTCACATAATGTCAGGCAATGTTGACTTGAAAAGAACAACCTGAGGTTTAAAGTTTTAGAATTCAAGCAAACAAAAAATCGAGTCAATACTTTAGAAAACTTTGTCCATTGGAGCATTGGCAGCATGGTGACTTGGAAAACACATGTGTTAAATCTCTGAGAAGTTGACAGGGTCTCTCAGCAGGGTTCCTTAACCTGACCCTTACTCAAACAACCTGGCATTTGTTTAATCAGGCATATACAATCATACAGATGCAAAAATGACCATGCCTGTGCTCTTAGAAAATAGGAGACATGGTGCTATTCCATGATGCAAACACCAGATGGAGCTACTGCTTGTCCAGAAACCAAGCTGGGGTTTCTGGAAAGCTCATTAGCATATACATGACAGTTTCTAAAGAAGAGTTTGCTCTTGATAACAAAGGGAAAATCAAGACTTGAGCTAACAAAAGGGTCAAGAGCAGGCTGGTGAAATCCACAGAAACAGCTGACCTGAATGAGGGGGAGCTCATGGACCCCAGACTGATAACTAAGAGACCAGGATAGAACTGATCCAGACCCCCTGAATGTGGGTGTCAGTAAGGAGGTCTGAGCAATCTATGGGGACTCTGGTAGTGGATCAGTATTTATCCCTAATGTATGAATGGACTTTGGGAGCCCATTCCACATAGAGGGATACTCTTTCAGCCTAGACTCATGGGAGAGGACCTAAGCCCTGCTACAAATGATGTGACAGAATTTGAAGATCCCCCATGGAAGGCTTGACCCTCCCTGGGGAGCAGAAAGGGTATGGGATAGGGGTTAGTCAGCGGGGGACAGGGGAGGAGGAGACGGAGAGGGAACAGGGACTGACATGTAAAACAAGCTTGTTTCTAATTAAAAAAATAAAAGACTTGAGCTAACTTTTCATGAGTTAATAGGGCCTGGCTGGAAGCAGCATAATTGGCAATGAAGCTCCAGGTTGTGCTGCCAGTGCAGAAGAGCTGAGCATCCCTCAAGGGAACTCAACCAGAGCGAGAACTGAAAACTTCACATATTTATGCCCCTTTAACTCACCTCTCTTCTCCAAAGTTCATTTATGTGGCTCGGAATGCTAAAGACTGCATGGTTTCCTACTACCATTTCTACAGGATGAGCCAGGTGCTTCCAGATCCAGGCACCTGGGACGAGTATTTTGAAGTCTTCATTAATGGGAAAGGTAAATAGAAATGCTGGGCGCCCCTGTGTTCTGACTCCAATAAAGCTGATTTGAGAAGACTACTCAAGATAGTTGAGTCCCCAGAATGTCATGTGCCTCCTTAGACAAGTCCCACCACTGACAGGGACCAGGTAAAGGAGGCTGGTTTCTTTCACAATGCAGAAGCCCAGAAATCAGCAAGCAGCCCTATCCTACTTCTTGGCCTGTAGAGCTACCCTCATCTTGGGTGTCCCTGTTATCATATGAGGTACAGGTGATTGTGTATAAGCAACAGTAAGCACTTTAATTAGCATATTAAGGAAAAAATCTCTAAGACTGACCCAAAGCACATGAGCTCAGATCTGGCAGCTCAGTGCCCTTAGGATGTATCAGGCGCAAGATTTTTCCTTCCACCATGTCTCTGATGCTCGAAAAGAGAAGAGGGGGAGGAGAAGGAAGGAAGGAGGAAGAAGGAGAAAGAGGACTCAGTTTGTGTTCATGAAAACTGTTCTTGATTGTCACAGTAAATTGGGGATCCTGGTTTGATCATGTGAGAGGATGGTGGGAAATTCGTGACAGACACCAGATTCTTTTCCTCTTCTATGAAGATATGAAGAGGGTAAGTAAATTACTGCTTTGGAATCAGGGGCAGGGAAGCTGCTTAAGGAATGTGTTTCTGACAGGGATGTTGGGAAAAACTGGGTCACTGTTAAAACTCTCTTCCAGTCCAACTCAGTGTTACCCTCACCCACAGGACCCAAAGCATGAAATCCAGAAGGTAATGCAGTTCATGGGAAAGAACTTGGATGAAAAGATCCTGGATAAAATCGTCCAGGAGACATCATTTGAGAAAATGAAAGAGAATCCTATGACAAATCGTTCAACAGTTCCCAAATCTATCCTGGACCAGTCCATTTCCCCTTTCATGAGAAAAGGTTTGTGGGGAATTCTGTATCTCTAATTCTGAGACAGTACATCCCCAATACACGCTTTATGCTCTTAAGAAGGCTAGAGACTCTTTCCTATTGTACAGAGGTTATACAAACCAAGTCTTACAGAGAACTAAGGCCAGAGTTAGGTATTCTTGGTGGACACCTCACTGGGAACCTCACTGTCTGAGGTTAGACTCATCAGATCTGAGATTCTTGAAGCAGGAGTTAGCACTCTGCTGTAGGCTCTACTTGTAAGTGCGGCTACTGTCCACACATGCATCCTGCCTTCCATCTCTGTGCCCTTCTCCTACTTTACAGCCACTGCTTGGGCTTCTGTGCATGACTTAGTTTTGACCAGCACCCCAAACTGCTCAGGCTTATGACTTTTAACATGTACTGCTGTAAACCAGCCTCTTAATGCTTCCTGCTTCCTGAGAGAGGAATTCTGTTTGGCCCATATGGCCCAGTTTTAAGGGTTAAAATGTTGTTTTAAAGTGCTGTTTATTGCCAGGCAGTGGTGGCACACACCTTTAATCCCAGCAATCGGGAGGCAGAGGCAGGCAGATCTCTGTGAGTTTGAGGCTGAGCTGGACTGATAGCCTCCAAAACAATACAGAGAAACCCTGTCTCGTGAAAACCAAAAAAAAGTGCTGTTTATTTTAAAGTGAGTACATTAAATAACTTAAAACAATACTGATTTGACCATTTCCCACATATCCTTATTAAAACCCCTTTCCCAAGAAGCTAGGAATAGCACAAAACTCCTCCCCTATCTCATTAGCATATGCATTTCTTTTATGTAACAGTACAACTGGGAATTGGGGTTTACATATTACTCTAAAATGTCTTTCGTTTTTCTTTCAGTACATGAGTTAATTTATTTTATGGTCCTTGCTGTCTGCAAAGTATACCGGGCCTCTGAAATAAAACAACTCTATTCTCTCTTAATCGATGGTGAAGATTTGATAAGTAGTCTTTCTTCAAGCCATTCTTCTCATACACTTGTGTTTTCATCTTTGCTTGCTTGCTTTGGTCCATAGACACACAAATATAGATACCATCATAGAACTTTGCTCATTAAACACAAACTGTGTGTACACTACACAGTTTTGCTTATCAGAATATGAAATATCTCTCTAGGTCAAGGAAAATGGATCTCAGCACATCACTGTTTGTACGGGTCTCCAATTATAGATACTAATAGATACTGTGTTTAAATTTTTATGATTAATGCTACAGTAAACATTTTTGTTCACCACACTGAATAATTCCCCACAACAATCACAGGTGTTTCAAAGAGTATTTCCTTATCTACAATCATTTTAATCACTGTCTATTGAAAATAGTATTTCATTCTAATTATCTCCAAACTCTTTTTTCATTGAGATATATAATCTACATAAAAACTAACAAAAATTAACTGTATAGTTCAACTATTTTTTATTAAAAAAATACATCAACTATGCAACAAACGTCTGAATCAAGGCAGCAAAGAATCCCATCATCTTGGGAAATTTTCTTTGGTATCCTTTCCAATCTCTTCCTATGGAGAACCATGTTCTCATCTCTCACTGTCTGATGATTTTGCTTGTTCTTAGATAGTACATACATGGACATGGAATGTCACACTACATATTTTTTCTGTCTATCTTGAATGAGCATAACATCTTAAGATACCCTGGTATGGCTCTATTTCTGCCATCCATTTGTTTTTGTAACTGTGGATATCCAGTATATGTGTGTACCCCTGCTAGGGTCAGGATCCCAGGTCACCAAGCTAATTCAAGCTCCCTTGAATCAGTTGTCCACTTGATTTAGAATTGGCGCCCTGCAAAATGACCACTGCCTCTCAGACAAAAGAGCTAAGGTGATGAGGAACTTGGTGACTGCCAGGCTGGCTCCAAAGTGGGCATTCCACACTCTACTCAGGGACATGAAGTCTGTCAGTCAGAGACTGATGCCCCTGTCTGGGCTTCATTTTTTAGGAACTGTGGGTGATTGGAAAAACCACTTCACTGTGGCCCAGAATGAGAGGTTTGATGAACTCTACAGAGAGAAGATGAAAGGAACGTCTATAAACTTCTGCATGAAACTCTGATCAAGATGTAAAGATAGATGTCAAGAACATGGAGCCAAAAGAAGCTCTAAAAGCACACTGTAAATGTGAGGAGGATTGTGTCTCAGACTCTGTGATTATTAACATCACAATTTTATAAATGTGGGTCATGGTTAATGTGTATTCTTTCCACTCTCCAGAAAAAATTACCAAGGCAGCTTAATAATCTAAGGGAAACAAAGTAAGTCTTGAATACTAAAAAATTTAAGTTTCCATTCTTCTACAACAGTGGTTCTCAACTTGGAGGTCATGACCTCTATGGAGTAATATTTCAGATATCCTGCATATCAGATATATTACGATTCATAACAGTAGCAAAATTACAATTATGAGGTATCAACAAAATAATTTTACGTTTGAGGGTCACCACAGCACCAGGAACTGTATTAAAGGATCACAGCATTAGGAAAGTTGAGAACCACTGTACTAGAAGATATAGCCTGACTCTGAAATGTACTACCTTAAGTACAAGCACACAAATATTAGATATCATCTACATTAATCTACATTAAGTTCCTAATGTCTTTCTTGCTTAATCAGGGTTTTGCCTGGTTACAATGGAAAGAATCACTTTGTGGACAATGTGTTGCAACTAGCCCATGGGAACATGTTCTACCTGTTCAGATGCAACAAACATCTGAATCAAGGCAGCAAAGAATCCCCATCATTTTGGGAAATTTTCTTTGGTATCCTTTCCAATCTCTTCCTATAGAGAACCATGTTCTCATCTCTCACTGTCTGATGATTTTGCTTGTTCTTAGATGGTACAATAAGGGAAGGACTCTAAGGAGATGTTAGAAATCTGAATCTTAATAAAGGGAATCCTAGGTCTGTGCCATAAAAGAAACAGAATGAAAGCATTGTATCTGGATAAAAGCAGAATGTTTGTAGCCAATTTATCTACAGTCATCCCATATGAGGAGCAACCCTCCTTTGCCTAGTTTCCATTTTTGCCCATTTTAACTGAGTCTGTCTGTATTTGTATGCCAGCATACTTATGTCTATCTCCCACTAGTTCCTGTCTTTGTCACCTTCTTACTTGTAGTGCCCAAGGCAGTGTGGGGCATACAGCATATAGCATGAGTGAATGATTGCTCAGAAGTCAGAAAGGCAGGCATGTTTCAGGTCATAAGTTCTCAGCTTTTACCTTTTCATTTCAGTTTCAAATAGCAACATTCCAAAGACAAGAGCATCAGGAGCAGGTTGTAGTGGAAGCAGGAATACAGGGTACATTACAAGAGCTGGAATGTCAGTTGCTTTCTATCAAGTCTACACTTTCTCCTAAGAGGTCACATTATAAAGACTTGGACACAGTATCGTGTTCCTGAGAGGAGAATCTGTTAGAATGTGTAAGAGAATTTAGCAGGTAGAAGCTAGGTTACCAGAACATGCCCTGGAAGGGAATGGGAGCCCCCAGACCTTTGTTTTTCCTTTCTTTTCTTTTTTCTTAACTATGAGGTGGGCAGTTTTGCTCTGCCATTTGCTCCCATCATGATATTTTGTCCATCTGACTATGGAATATAAATTCCAAAACCATGTGCCAAAATATACCCTTTGTCTTTAAATGTTGTTTATCCCAGATACTTGCTATAGTAAACACTTTCACCATGAGTGGCAATAAAATACTCACTGTTCCCTGGAAAACACTTAATTTTGTCTAACTTATAGATGAGTGTTTAGTTACTACTGAGATTTAACTATATATGCATAGGTAATTGACACCTTCTATTATATAAAAGATGTTTATATCTTAATTGGATTGTAAAGTTTTATTTTTTGCTTCTATGTCTCATTAATATTTTTACCAAAGTAATTCAGAGATTCTCTAGATATAGAGTTTACTTGTACAATTCCAAACCAAATAGAAGTGTCTATATTGCTTCCTTTCAAGGTTACATTAAGAAGATCCAGCCCTGTGTCTCAACCATGCACTGCTTAACAGAAGATTTGGGTAAACAGTGGAATCTTTGCAATCACAGACTCAAGCTTCTCTGTTCATCACAGACTCTGGCTTTGTCCTCCTGGGGGTTTTCCTTTGTATTCAGAAATTAAAATACCAGTACTTGAAAAAGAGTATGGAAAGTATACTGTTAGTTCAGTAACTACAATAGTATGTTCACAATTTACACTTTGATAACTTTAATAATTACTAATTTTGGAACCATAAATAATCAAGTAAATGAAACATTACATCAGGAGTATAATTAATTGTTACTTTGTACTTTCATAGGCATTTTAGTTTTATTAGAAGTGACCCATGATTATTTCACTTGCAGGTCTATTTTCCTGCCATGTCTATATGCACAAAATTTAATAAAAGAAGGTTTTAATTACTTGATTTCTTTGGTATCATTTGTTTGTTTCTATTCATGATAAATATGAAAATAGTTTTGATATAGGAAGAATGGATAGTAAAAATAATTCAGTTCCGGGTAAAAATTGACCCAATTAATATAATACACTCATGCTGGTTTCCTTGACAGATATTCCCTGGTTCTGGTGTTTCTAACATCTTAGTGTTTCCATTGCAACTTAGATTTCATGGTTACAGCTTCATCCATACCCCTTTGGGACCTCTGTGTAGGAGCTCTGACCCTGCTGCATATTGCCTGGCAGTAGAGTGAGACTTGATTCTTTTATGCTACCAAGGTCCTGCTGCCAGCTGTAGATACAGCCTGGCCCCGAATGACAGCTGTATCAGCTCTGTGTGCTGGTCCTGGGAAAACACTTCTCTAAGCAGGTACTGCTGAGGATCAGGTAACACCTCCAGTGGCATCCTCAGTTCAAATTTTAAACCAATTTGCATTTTTACACATTGAAGTCTATGATGAGCCGAGTTTTGTCCTTGGTGTATGTTCCTTTTGTACCCAAGGCATTGCAGGGTATTTCTCACTAACAATTACAGCCTCTTTTCCAGCATGCATCCTGTTTGCAAAATTTCAATTGCTCTTTTCATATGAAAAAATCTGCACAGTTTTTATATATTTCCATCCAACAGTTGCTCTTTTTCACTGATAAGAGAATTCATAAGCCATGCCATAGCCTGAATGCTCTCTTTGTCTTGAAATCATCCTCAACAATAAATCAATCCATTTTCCTCCAATTGAATGTTCAATTTCAGTGCTCAAGACACAGAGAGAATGAAACCAGATTCTTGGCCAAAGTACCACACAGATGTCCTTGAGTCTTTGAAACCTCATGCGCTGGACCTTTGCTGTTTTCAGTTTCATAGTACTCTTGTAATCCCACCAGCATAGCCCATGAAGCTTTGATTCTGCAATGTGAGGAATTTTCTAGCCCACCCCCCAAAACCAGTCTTCTACATTCCCATTACAAGCCAGTTCTAAAGTCACATTGTCAACTTTGTCGCAGCCAGCCTCCAGTTCTCAGTATGAATACTGTGTTAGCAGCCAAGAATCAGAAAGTGATGCATTTTCTTCAAAACTGGCCACATAACTCATAAAGGAATGAATGATTTTTCTTGATATAGGATATATACCACATTCTAAAGTTAAATCAAAATACAAATAGGAAAAACTGGAAATGAAAAATTTAGGAGTTCAAACAGAACTTCAGAGAAAAGTCTCACCACAGACTACAAGAGGTGGAGAGAAAAATCTCATTAAAGGAAAAATCCATCATGAGACTATTGTGATTCTTAATTTCCATGCGCCAAACACAAGGGCACTCCAGCTCATAAGCCCCATTACAGTTTAAATCACATATCAGCTCTCATACAGAGATATTGGGAGACTTCAATACCCAACTCTCATCAATAGATAGGTTATCCAAACAACAGTAAACAGAGAAATGTTGGAACTAACTGGTATTATAGATCAAATGGACCTAAAATTTTTTTTAACATTTTACCCAAATACAAAAGAATATACCTTTTTTCTCAGCACGTCACAAGAACTTTCTTTAAAATTGATTACATACTCATACACAAATCAAATCTCAATATATACAAGAAAATTGGACTTCCTGCATCCTACTTGGCCATCACAAATGAAAAGTGGATATCAATAACAATAGATAAAATACAGAAATTTTACAAACTCATGATAACAGCTCATTACTCTATGAAAAGTGGGTCAAGATGTAAATTAAAGTCTTTGTAGAATTGAATAAAAATGATACACAACATACAAAACTTTCATTGCCCCTAAGAGATAAGTTCCTAGCATTAAGTGTTACATAAAATTTGACAAGCGCGCTTATATGAGTAATTTAGAGCACACCTGAAAGCTATATCACAAAAAGAAGAAATAATAACCAAAAGAAGTACATGGCAAGAAATAATCAGACTCAAGGCTGAAACCAATAAAATAAAAACAACTAATACAAAGAATCAATGAAATATGTTGATTCTTTGACAAAATCAGCAAGATTGACAAAATCTTAGCCAAATTAAGTAAAAGGCAGAAAGAAGACTATCCAGCTGGGCGTTGGTGGTGCACTCCTTTAATCCCAGCACTCAGGAGGCAGGGGCAAGCGGATCTCTGTGAGTTCGAGGCCAGCCTGGTCTACAGAGCTAGTTCCAGGACAGCCTCCAAAGCCACAGAGAAACCCTGTCTTGAAAAACCAAAAAAAAAAAAAGAATATCCAAAGCAACAAAATTAGAGACAAAAGCGGGGAGACAACTGACATTGAGGAAATCCGGAGAATCAAAAAAAAAAAAAAAAAAAAAAAAAACCTACACGCTACCAAACTGGAATATCTAAAACAAATGGATAGGTTTCTTGATATATAAAGTACATCACCTACTAAAGTTAAAACGAGAGTATATAAGTAATTTAAACAGACCTATAACCTCTAGTGAAATAAAAGAAGTCTTTAAATGCCTCCCAAAGAAATCTAAAGGAAATTGACAATTTTATGGTTAGGTACTGCTTACCAAACTTGGTTAGACAGCACTTTAAACAGACCTGGAACCTAGCTTCAGACTGTTTCACTGTCTCTCCACCAGCCCCTTAACTCTAAGTCCATCTCCTGTCCTTCCTTCTTCCTCCCTCCTTCCCTCCCTTCCTTATCTCTCCATCACATCCCTCCTCCCTCCCTCCTTTACTTTTATCAACCCTCTGCTGCTTATACACCTTTTTCTCCCAATTTAGCTGCTCACCAAATCACCGCAGTGATCATCATCTGGGCCTGTGCTAGGTAGTTTTTAGACAGTAATGGTACAAGGAAACAGTTTCCATTTGGAGACCTAGAATAAACTGCTTCCTGATGACACCCTACATTCAGCCATGAACTGCACAATAAAACAAGCTTTGTCTCAGACATTAACAGGTCTCCTTCATGTCTTTTTACATTTGTATTTCCTGAACATTTGATAGGAAGACATCTACAGGATATTTATTATATGTATCACATTTCTTCAGCTTGTACAACATTTTAATTTTTTTCATTGGTTTTGTGTTTTACTTTATGGCTATAGAGCATTATGACTGGATATTTACAAGTTGCGTTGTTTGTAGGTTGGGGGTTCTAATCCAGCATTCATCTGTTGATGCGTGAGGGTCCATTATTTCTATATCCATCATAGAATTCAGAAGATTTCAAATATCAGGCACTTCATAATACCCCCATCTATGTGTGTGTTGGTCATGTACATTCCTGTTGAACCCAGAGGAGGATATTGGTTATATTCTGTACCATCACTTTTAAGTCTATTCCCTTGAGACAGCGTTCATTGATCTCTGTGTTTATCCATTGGGCAGCAAGCCCCAGGCGTCATCATCTCCATGCCCCCACAGTCTATGGTTATAGACTTCTAGATTATTCTATATGACCTGGGAATGGGAACTCAAGGCCCCATGCTTTAACATCAAGGACCTTACCCACCAAGCCATCTCCCTAGCTCCAATTGGTACAAAAGTTTCCACATATCTACTGAAAATCAAAGTGTTTTGGTTATATATAGTTATTCCCTTGAAAGTCTGAATGAAATTTGTGTACCACCTTTATCTGGAGAGCATCTCATTTACCAGCATCCTCAAGTGCCTTTGGCCATCTTTTTAAATCTTCAGAATTGCCCAGAACATCAGTAGAATTATTACAAAAGTCACCATGGGATAAAAACTAGTGTGCACACAATTCTGACAGGATGAGCATGAAGGATGTGTTTTCTCTAGGACTGTTTCACCAAAAAAGTCCTGGAATGATATTGGAAGAAGTTTAAAATATTCAAGACTTATCAGTGAATCAAGGAGTCCCCAAATATCACTGAGCATGCTTTGTACCTGGAACATAACATTACTCTCCATCTGGAATGTCAACCTCATCTAAGACAGTCAAAGACTCTGCAGGATAAAGGAAAGGTGCTTGCCATCAAAGCTGAAAATTCCCAGAAATGAGTTCAATTCCCAGAAGCCACACAGAGGAAGGAGAGAACAAAAACACTATAGAGTTGTCTTTTGACTTCTATATGTGTGCTTTGGCATGAGGGTGTGCATGAATGCCCACTCACACTCACACTCACACACACACACACACACATAACTTACAAGAATGTAAATTTTAAAAAGTCCCCAAAGCATAAAAAGGAATACCAAATGACCATAATAACAAATTTAATATTTTTTAGCACTAAATGGAAATAAAAGGAATGGAAATAAAAGTAAGGAAAAAATTAATACAAAGGTATATAGGGCAGAAGATTAATTTTTGCCAGTGTATCTTTGCATTGGAAATTCTGCCTGTGTGTATAGATCCATTGTTTATCCATTCTCTCACTATCTGTCATCTTGCTGTCTTTGATTTACCTATTTTATTTTGTTGTCGAAACAGCATGTTCTTAGTACACAGCTTTATAACATCACCTAGTGGTGAAGTACGTGCATTGCAGTCTTAACGTTCACACTGAGTTGAGATGCTTTCTCTTTCACATTGTGTGTGTGTGTGCATGTGTGTGTGTGTTTGTGTGTGTATGTAGAGTAATAGCCTATTGATATTATGAATATTTCTCTGCATGTGTATACATGTGGAGGCAAGCGGTCAAATTTTGGTGTCATTCTATAGGTGCCAGCCTCCTTGACATTTTAATAACCATACATACTTGTATGTATATACGTATGTATATTATATATGTACACATGAATGGCGCTGTGTGTGTTACTGTGTGCCTGTGGAAGGCAAAGGATAATTTCTTAGAGTCAGTTCTCTCCTTAAATTATGTGGAGTCTTGGGGATTGAACTCCAAACACTAGGCTGGGTGGCAAACAACTTTAGCTATTAGATCAATTCACTAACACTGGATACTTGGGATTGTTTATGTAGAATAAGCTGCTCCAAAACTCACAGAGATCCACCTGTCTCATCCCACTGATTGCTGGGATTGCAGGTATGACCTGCCTTGCCTGGCTTCAAGTTCTATGAAGGATTAATGGCAAATTCCTCAAAACTTTTAGGGAAGAAATTGAACCAGTCTCCCCTTTTCATCTCAGCAGTGCTGGGGATTGACCTGAACATCCACCTGTGTGGAAGTCACGAGCTCTGAGTTCCTGCCGTACAATTCCCTACACTCACACTGGAATACAAAAGCTAACAGAATTCTTTCTACCACATTCTCTGAAGTCGGCGTTTCAGAAATACTCAAGTAAGCAAACAACAGAAACAATACAATCCTGTATCTGTCATGAACACAAATGCAAAGCACAACCACTTATATCAGTGCATTGTCCAGGTGTGTCTGGGCGAGCCTGTCATGCCAAGACTTGGGAGGCAGAGGAGAAGAATCACGAGTTCAAGACCAGCCTGAGCTTAATAGTGAGCCCCAGGACAGCTTAGATACAGCTCATTAGAAACTATGAAACAAACAAACAAGCAAGCACTAAAGCACATTAACTCCAAAAGAAAAAGGAGTTGCACACCTGTGGCTCCTGGTTTGAATGAACCGTGCCTTGTATCCAGGTTTTATCATGCCCTTCTCCTGTCTTTGCCAAGGCACAAGGCTGCCAGAGGGCTTCTGGTGCCTGGAGGGGCATACCATGTGAGGAAATGATGTGATCATGGAAGAAGACAGAGAACACTGTCCTTCTAGAGCCCCTGGTGATGCTTGGTGGCTTATGCGACTAGAGGAGATGGACTTACACATAATCACAGTAACTCTGCAGATAAACCCATATACAGAAGCAATCAATACATATGATTGCATTCTAATTGAAAGACAGCATGCCACTCTTAGATATAATTGCCATAGGAATGAGTTCGGCAGGAATGATAAGCACCATAAGAAACACACTGACCACGAGCTGACAGCATTTTAATACTTTCCACATTTGCTATGTGTTGCCTACACTCTGTATATCTATTTAAAGAGTAAAATCCTCGGGCAAAACTAATCCTAAGATTTAATAAAACCATGGTTAAAAAAAAAGTCAAATAAGTCACTTACTACTATCCTAGTATTCTTCCACAGTCTGGTTCCTCCAATCCTTTCTCCAGGGTCTCTGTCGCTCAGCATCCCTGTCAGCTTGCCCTCAGGTTTGGGCTTTCTGGGATGCATACCAGGCCTGGGGGAATGCTGGATGAGTGGAAGCAGAATCTTTGCGTCCTGTCATAGGCTTCACTGCAAGGGCAGAGTGAAAGGAGGGGCCACGGCTCACCCACACTGACCACCGCAGGACTTCCATGTAGTCAGGAGAGGTCAGAGCCTGGAAACTCAGCTCCATTTTTCCCATTGTGCCAGCTGAGCAGGTGGGCCACACTCAGGCTTGAAACCCCTCGCTTTTCACAGAAATACACCTACCACCTCTGCCAGCCTGGATGCAGACACGCCCCCGAAACAACCCCAACTCAGGTGAACAGATTATGCACAAAATTGGCAAGAATGCTTGGCCCACCTGGGTTCCTACTGCAATTCGTGGAAGGGGGTGGGACTTAATCTTCAACTAAAACCTCACAACTGGTGGATTCTTTCTCCAGATCCTAATATCTCAGCTAACACCAGGTGTGTGGTACTGTTCCTTAGCACACAGCTTCACCAAGAGCTTGGGAATCAACTGAATGACTCCAAAGTTGTTTCTGCTGTGGGGATTTTCTAAGCAGTTCATGGAGAATGAGCGTGAAGAATGTCGAGAGCATTAATTTATTTGTAATAAATGAGCTCCAAACATTAAAACTTGGTGAAGAAAATTGTACATTATCTGTTTTTTTGTTAGATGTAAAACAGGAAAAGGGATGGGGTAAGGATGCACAGGTCCCAACATGTGATGTCACAAGGAATCATTGTGAGATAAGCTAGATACCAGTCCATATAAGGCAATACTTGTGGCTGCATTTTGTCCTTGGACTACTGCAAAGGAGGTGGTTGTGGATGAGCAGTGGAACTCAGTCATTTCTCATAGACTTGGACTTTCCCAAACAGTTGGGTCTTAGAAAAGTGAGTTTCCCTGGTTTTCTGTTTAGCTTTTGGTGTTTGGAATTTCTTTTCGACAATATTCATCTGTGTTCTAAAATCTGTCTGTGTTTCTATTCCTTCGTTGACTGAGATTTTCCGTTTGTTTCAACCTCATTTCTTTGTCACTGTTAGCCATGTTCTGGATTACTTTATACTTTGGTGGTATGTGTGTACCCAATGAGGGATTTGGTCAGGACCACATAGTCCTTATGCGGGGAACTTTGGTAATCTCCACCAGCTCTGTGTCATTTCCCTGCCCATGTCATGTGACCAATACTTCCCAATATACAAAAATTCATCCTGTTATCTGAATATGAGCAGAAGTAGACAAAAAATGTGTATTTTGTGTTTGTGGAATTTGACTGTTTGGAGTCAAACTTTCTCTAGTTCCATGTTTGTCCCTGGGAGTGACAGTTCATTTTCATGGGTGGCTGTGTTCACTTGATGTTGTGATTCTGTCACTTTTCATTGGTGGATTGTTATGTTTCAAAACACCTGGGGAAGGCATCTTGATCACAAATAATGGTCTTTTTAAGGTGTCATTGACTATGAAGTAAAGGATCTCATCCTCTCATTAAGGGTATTCTCATGTTCTTAGTCAAGGACCTTGACAGAAACTTCTATTTTCAAGGTGTCTTTACTTGGTTAGCAAATAAGGGCTTTATGAAAAGGGTTTGTTTTATGAAAAGATTTCAAAGTATCCCTTCCCTCAGTTTTATAGACAACTGAAAAACATGTGGATTATTACAGTTATTGATACTGGTAACATGACATTGTTGACCAATTGGTTCTTTCAGATTGTGTTTCCTAGTTTTATTATTTGGACTTTTATGTTTTCCACTGATTCTTATATCTCTCCTTGTTGTATGTTTGTTCCTTTCATGGGGACCGAAGTAAAAATGGGAGATTATAGAGGGAAGGGGCACTGAAGAGACCTGCCTTTCAGGGACAAGGACTCTAACAATGAAACATTTTCATTCTCATCAAAGTATGTCTCCACAGATTTCTCTGGGAACAATTAAGGCTACTTGCAGTGGCCATTTTTTCTCTGGTGGATGTGGGTGGGACACACACAATGTGTGACTATGTGATAAACTGCCTTGACTTCTGGACAACATGGTTGGGGTGGGAATGGGAGGAACCAGCTTTTTCATGACTATGTTTATTGGTTACTATTCTGTTGTGATAAAAGTTTATAAACTTGGAAATTTAATAAAGAAAGAGCTTATCTGGCTTATTTTTGGAGGAATAAGAGTTGTTGGTTTTACAGAGGCATGGCAGCTAGCTGAAAGCTTGAAGGCAAAAGCAGTTGACTAAGTGTCACATCTTCAAACTTAAGCAGGACACTGAGGGAGCAAATGAAGACTAGGCTTATTCCTCTCAATGACAGGCCCAATAATGTACTTCTGCCACTAAGGCTCCACCATATGAAGTTCCCCCAAATTGTACAATCAGCTGTCCTTGTGCGTTCGTGTGTTCAAATGACAAATTTATATGAGACATTTCTAATTCAAAGTTCCACAGGGATTGTGTTAAATATCAGATGTGGTGAGCCCTGGGTTTCTAGTTTGGGAATTTGTGGAACACATGATGTGATGCTGTAGAGGAACTGTGTCACTAGGGAACAGAAAACTTCTAATGCAGTGTCACCAGCCACCTAACTACCAGCCCTATGGGCAACAAGATGCTCTCACCACCATGGCTTCAGTGTTTCTTGAAAGCCTGTGCACAAATAAACCCCTCCTCCCTAGAGTTGATTCTGGTCTGGGATTTGGCCTCATCAATGAGAAAAACACTTGGGGCTCTGGTTGGGGCACAGAACCTGATCAGTTCTAATAAGCCTTGATTGGTCAGTTCTTGTCACAAGGAGGCATTATGATGCATGCTAACAATGTTAGGCACTTCCTGCATTGGGTTCCTGCCTTTGTATCTTGGAGTAGCAGGTCATTGCCTACAGAGCTGTTGAACTTAAAATTGGCTCTGATAGACTAGGAATCTTCAATCTACTGGACCTTGCTAGAGTGAGTTTTTTCCAGTTTGTTGTTTACATTTCCAGAGGTTAAGGTTTACTGTTTTCATGCTGACATATTGGTTTACATCCTAGGTTTGATTTATGATTATCTTATCTAGCTATTCATTATTACCCAATTTCCTATTTGAAAACTCATTTAGTTCTTAAAATTTGGTTTCAAATTTCTTCAGTTAGAACATGTGTTACTGTGCACTACATGTAAGCTTTGCAACTCAGATGGAAAAATATTCTGGTGGTTGTGAGCCAAGGAATAGCACAAAGTCATTGTAAACATAGCAGCTTACAGTAAGGCTCTAGGAAAAGGCCTTTCCAATGTAAAGACTCTGCTCATCTAGGGTAAGGTTTCCCTAGTGAAAGTGTTACAGTTCTGCCCTCAGAGCTCTGCTCAGGCTCAGGCAAAAGTTACTTCTCTTCTCCACTCCACTAAGGGAGTTTCCCAGCAGAGATGTCCATTACTTCCCCGGCCAAAGAAGGACTTCACCCAAAACTCATTCAAGACATTTATTGGAAGGGAAGAACCCAATAGAATGACTGCCTCTGCCAGGGTGGAAAAGACAGTTGCCAAATGAACCAGCACATGACTTATATAGGGATTTTTAGTGGTAGAATTTTTTACAGGGTGAAGATTTTCAGGGTGGGAATGGGTCACAATTCAATCCCTGAGCTTGGATAAGCTCAGAGATTGGCTGGATTCCATGCTCAGAAATTGGTTGGTTTCGTGCTCGGGGATTGGTTTTCCTGCCCAGGGATTGGTATTGTGCTGAGCTGGTCAGGGGCAAGTGTGTTTCTTTGGCTCTGGTTTCAGGGACAAAGTGTTTCCTTCACTGGGAATTTTTAAGCTTTTGGCTCTGATGTCAGGGTCAGTGAACCTGCTCTGTATCAGGTCATGGTATGTTTCTTTGGCTCTGATTTCAGGGCAAAAGTGTATTTCTTTAGCTCTAATTCGGGGCCAAAGTATGTTTCTTTGGCTTTGGTTTCAGAGTCAAAGTGTGTTTCTTTGGCTAGTCCTTTTACCCTACACTACTCAGAGCAAATTTCATTATAGCATCCCATGCATGCCTATATAACTTTTTGTTCATACTTTCCTGATCAATTTCACTTCCTATACTCCATATCTGTGGCTAATATTTTTTCTTCATAAAATCTTCACCCTCTTCTAATATCTACAGGCAAAAATGTTATATTTCTGTTTGTGTAGTTGCCTTATTTCATATAACATCTCTAGTTGTAGCTACTTTCTATATAGCAGAACAGTTCAGTTGTCACTGTGTCTGATTATAGACTCTACCCCAGAATCTGAACATATGTTACACTATTGATAAGTTTCTTTATGTAACTTACCCTCTGGATTTTTCTTGTATTTCTAGGGCCTTAGAAGTCATCATTGTATTCTGTGGGATATCTCAGAATTCAAGTGAGAGAATTCATAGCTATAGACTTCTATTCTAAAACTACATTAATTTTTTTCTAGCATTGTGTGTCCTGAAATTTCCCACAAAATACAGTGGTTGAAATCGAGCTGAACATCATGGCCAGCCCATGGGTAGAGGACATCCTTGAAAAGGATTTCAGTATCTTAACATCTCTAGGTTGTGGTGCATTCGGGAAGGTGATGCTTGCCTGCAACCTACCCACACATGCAAAGATGACTGTCAAGGTCCTTCAGAAGCACCACGATGCTCTGGTTCATTATCAGCTCTGAAGTAAACATCTTTCATTCCTTGAAACATAGGAACTTAGTTCAATGTTATCACATCATCAACACACTGACAATAACTTATGTGGTCATGGAGTATGTTGCAGGAAAAGATCTGGAGATGTTCCTCAGGGAGATAGGATATTTAAAGGAGGATGATGATAGACCAGTACAACAAGTCATGTCATCGGCTTCTCTTCTCCACCAAAGACTCATTGAATATGGTGATAATAGAGAATATCCTTTGTGACATATTGGGCAAAGCAAAGCTTTGTGAATTTGGTATTGCCATTCAGTTTGCATGAGGAAAGATGTTGAAGGGGGTCTGTGTTTCCTTGCTCTATTAGAATCAGATTTCTTAACAAGGAAATCCTATGATGGACTTGCAGGTGATAAGTGGAGCTTGGGCATTGTCCTATATGTCATGATAACTAGTCACTTTCCATACGTAGAAACCACACTATCATCACCACCACAGTGTGTCCTATTCCCTACCATTTGACAAAAACAGTCACATTATCATTGCACGATTACTCATGGTCCCTATCTGGTACAGGGTAATAATAGGTAAACTTTTGGGAAGACCTTGGACGTGCCACATTCAAGAATGTGTACCATATGCCAGTATGGAAACCATTCCCAGGGTCATACAGTCGATGCACACCATTGGCAATAACTGTGAAGAGATTTTGTCATTCATAACACATAGGAAACTAACAGAAACAACCAATATTCTGAAATATCAATTGAGCAGTGGGGATAGCCATGGGAATAGCCACCAGCAAGATAAATCTGGTTAAATATATCCCCTGGAGGTTCCCTCGATAAGGAGATCTAGTGAGCCAGCTTTTACCATCAGCATAGAAGCTGGAAAGAGTCACTTTTAGAAAGATGGTGTGGAAGAAAGAGGGAAGGGATTCAGAAGCTACAGCATGCCCCACAGATATTCCAACCTGGAGGTGGCAACCAGTTCAGCACTCAGGCAATCAAATAAAAAATAACAGCAATAATTAATATTCTGAAGTGCCAATTCAGCTGAAAGGACAACTATCAGCACGCCAAGAAGCCCTGGTTAAATATGATCCCTGCAGTTCCTCTTACCCTCACATTCTGCTTAAAGAGGAGAGCTAGTGAATGAGCTTCTCCAATCAGTATTGAGCCTGGGAGGAGTCATGTTCAGGAAGAGGGAGTGGAAGAAAGATACAAGGGATGCAGAAATTACTCCATGCTTAACAGATAGTGCAGCCTGGAGGTGACACCCTGTTCAGCACCCAGGTGACCAAGTAATAAACTGAAACAATCAAGATTCTGAAATACCAACTGAGCCTTGGGTCCAGCCATCAGTACAATGAGACATACTGGCTAAATAATATCCAGTCAGGTCCTCTTGTCCTCCCTCTCCACTTGAAGGAAGCTAATGACCATCTTTTCCAATCCATACAGAAGTTGGAAAGAGTCACTTTCAAGAGTGTGTGGAAGAAAAGATGCAAGGGATGTAGAAGTCACACCGTGCTCCATAGATACTGCTGCTTGCAGGTGATGCCCTGTCCAGTACCCAGCTGACCAAATAATAAACTAACAGCAACAGTCAATATTCTGAAATATGAATTGAGCCATGGGGATAGCCATCAGCAAGGCAAGATGCTTTGGTTAAATATGATCACTGCAGGTCCTCTTAGCCTGCCTCTCCACATAATGAGGAGAGTTAGTGAGCCAGCTTTTTCAAACAGTATAGAGGCTCTGGAGAGTCACTTCTAAGAAGAGGGTGTGGAAGAAAGAGAGAAGGGGTGCAGGAGGTACACCATGCTCAGAAGATACTCCTTCCTGAAGGTGATGCCCTTCTCAGCACCCAAGTAACCAAATAATAAATTAACAGCAACAACCAATATTCTGAAATACCAATTGAGAATTGGGGACAGCCATCAGAAGGATCAGAATTCCTGGTTGAATACAAACACTGCTTGTCCTCTTAGCCTCCTTCTCCACTTGAAGGAGAGCTAGTGAACCCTACAACTCTACATTCACTGTTGTTGGGCAAAACAGTGCAATGAAAAACTTAGCTTCACATCTACTGCAGGTGAAGGTAGTGATTACACTTTTAAAACATCACCTCACCACACACACACACACACACACACACACACACACACAGAGAGAGAGAGAGAGAGAGAGAGAGAGAGAGAGAGAGTGTCCCTTACATCATTAGCATCATCACCACTGCCCTACATATACTGCTATTGATCAGCACTGCTGGACACACCCCTGGTATTCTATATAGAGTGCTATGAGCCAGGTCCTATTGGACCTAGAAGTTCCCAAATGCTGCCACCTAATGTGCAATGCTGTGTTCGTAAGACACTGAAAATAATCTCTCAATATCAGGGCTGTCCCGTCTTCAGGCCTTAATAGATACTCCCCAGTCCTGCTGCCAAACTCATGAGTGCTCTACTTACCAAGCAACCTGGACATCACTTCCCCTGTTACAATAGCCTGAACTATTTTCCTTGGTTTCAGGCCTTGCTGGACACCCAATTGGCCCCCTGCGCACTACTATATATACTTCTGGACCCTTCAGGACTCAAGTCTCAGATTGTGCCTGATATCAGGCCATCCTCAGTAAGTTCCTTTTGTACACCTGTATTCCTGCCTCAAAGCACTTCTAATTTTCAGCCGTGCTCACTCCCACTGCCATTGATTAGTAGTGTATGTGGGTAGCAGAACAGTGAGATGCTAGGTAAGGGTTGATGCCTAGCATTATATGCATGCCTGTATCTACACATGAACTACAATAAGATCCTGACTGCAAGAGGATTGTGTATGGAAGTGGCATGAATGTCAGGTAAGTCCTAATATCTAAATGGATATGTTGATTGTGCGCTGTAGTGGTCCATCAGGGCCTGAAACACCTAGTAGTTTTGTGGTGTGGGGCATCCAAGACAGCACAGCCTGATGCCTTGCAATCATTGTGGGACAGCAGTATGGTGATGTGTTCTGCATGGGTTGCATCTCACAATGTGTGAAGCATGGGATAGAGACTGTGCATCTTTGGGCATCCTAGGCTCCAGGAGCAGCAGCATGGAGACTCACCAGCTACAGCAGGTCCTATATAATTCCTATCTTCATCCTCCCTCTTCTACCGGGCTGAGGTATTTGGGAGTCAAGAGCAAAGCTGACAGATCTGAAAGTGACCCCCCAGCTTTGGTAGTGGTCATTCTGCTTCTGGCCCACATCCTTATGTAGTAATCATGGTGGTTGCATGGGTGTATGAGTGGTGAGCAGAACACATCTGCCTGCTACCTGGACATTCGCTGATAATCCTAAGCAGTGAACCAACGCCTTGATTGGTTCTTTCCTGGGGTGTATCAGGCCAAGCTCTCGAAGTCCTAAGGAGTTGTCACCTCAAGCCCTTCTCCAGTTTCTCTGTTTCTTGGATGGCGGCTTCTGAACTCACATATCAACAGTTCATCTTCTCTGTGTTGTTTCTGATCTTGTTCAGTATGAGGTAGAAACTTATGTAATTTTCTTCTGTAACTGTTACATGAACACTGCAGTTTTGGATCTGAGGTCAGATGTAACATTTGAGATTGTGTTCAGTTTTCTAATGGGTTCGTTATTGTTTGCTTTATCATACTTATCCTGCAGCCCTTTGTAGACAAACCGTTTTTCACTGCTTTGTTTTCCCTAGATGGCCCTGACAAAATCAGCTGACATAATGTAGGGGGGTCTGTTGCTGGGGGTTGTGTTAGATTCCATGTGTCCAGATTTCATTCCGTCCCTGATGAAATTTCTGGATCTCTGAGTTTTGTTGGGCGTGCTGGGACAAGATAGCATGGTCCAGCGGAATCTCTTCTGCCATCTGCTGTCTCTTCTAGGATTAAACAAGTTGGTTGTTACATTTGGTATTTGGGCATCAGATGGCATTTTGCTGAGTCTACCTGAGTAAAAGATCTGTCATCTGAACAACAGTGGCTGCTGCTGAGAAACAGGGGTGTCTGAGAGGTTATATTCCCTTGGATTCCTCTCAGACATCCTAAAGTTTTCTGAATGCCAATTAGAGTAAATCATGTTGGAAATCTATTTCAGTACTTCAGTAATTGTAAATTGTCTCTATCCAATACCATTTAGATTACAAGTGGATGACCTTGAGTGTACTGTCGTCTTGTTATTGGTGACCTGGGGAACAGAGTCCCTGCACACTGCCCTTCTCAGGCAATCCAGTCTAGAGGTCAAGCAGAGCTGTACATTCCCTTCTCAAGGATCTGCTGAGGTACCTTTATCTGAACAGGTAGGTTTCTTGGGTCATCTGTGAGGACAGGGAGGCATAAGTGACCTTTCTGTACTGTCACAATACATAGAGCATCGATGTGGGACAGGTATTCCACAGTAACACCGGGACGCTTTCACAAGAGGACCCTGTGCCATCCCCAGATCTTTCTGAGAATCAGGAGTGTGGTCTGTAGTTGAATTCTAGGACAGAAACCATTTCACTGCCCTCCACAGCATGTCTTCCTGAGGTTGTGTGGAGCTTCTCAGCTCCTTTAGAGCTCAGGAAATGACCTGCTAGTTTTCCAGCCAAAGGGAAGGCCAGAAGTGCTCTCCTCCATCCCTGGCAATAACACTGTGTGTGCAGATCCTCAGGTCAGGAATTCCCTGGGTACATGTTTCAGGATGTGTCCAGGAACCTATAAGAGAAGGAATATTATAGACCAATAAAGAAGCTGCCTGAGAACTCCATATTCCCAAAGTACAAGACCTGTTACCTTGGCAGATAATGGCAGGTCTACCTTTAGTGGAATTCAGGGACTAATGAATCAGTTATAATAATGCCCATTAACTTACAATGTGGCGTTCCTTGGGACAACATCATTAGAGTCTCTTCAGGGACCTCTGGGTGCAGGGAATGATTCCTCATAGCTGCCCTGCTACTTGGCAGGAAGGAGGATTTGAGAGCAAGTTCCAGGACAGCCTCCAAAACAATACAGGGAAATCCTGTTTTGAAAAACCAAAACAAATTGACCCGTGAGACTCCAAGGTGTCCAACATTACCAAACTGGTCATCGTGGCTGTGTCAATAGGACACTGGGTGGAAATTAAAGTTTCCCAAATAAACATCCTCTGGTCAAAAGAACATCTCAAGGACTCAGCTTTGTCCTCTGTTGTAGATACCTGTGGACCACTTTGAGATGATGTGTATAAAGCTCCTGCTACAAAGTACTGATTGCAGCTGCTCCTGTAGTGAGGCAGTGAAGGAGGGAGGTGCTGGGTGTTTGGGACTGGTCCCTAGCTGACTTCTCTTTTCTCTTTTCTCAGATGAAAGGCTAAAGACAGCAACAAACATGTAGCAGCAGGGACACCCAAATTCCCAACCAGATCCAAGACAAATGCCAGTATAAACATAAATAAACATCACATCTGTTTATACTGAGATTTACCTTCTGAGTGACCATCACCTGGGCCTGGAGCTAGTGATTCTTTTGGAACATCTGTCCTGTGTTTCACTGACCCTGCTACAACACCCAGGTCTCCCTTCCCGTGCCCACAGTTTAGCCCTGGCATTCAGTTCCTTCTGAGTGGCCACTCTCCATTGAAGAGAGCAGTGATCTGCTTAGAGAGTGTGCATGACAACACCAAAGACAAACTTTCACAGTAGGACACCAAAGCAGACAGGCTGACTTAATGTCCCTACTCTGGTCATCAAGTCTCTAACCCTGACCGCTGATGTGGGATCTGAATAAAACAGAATGCTAAGAATGCTAATTACACCATATGTCCACTGTATTCCAGGACAGCCAAGCAATACCTACCTTCCAAGTGGAGCAATATGTCAACATCCCATCCTATGTGATACCCATTTCCTTCCAGTTTGCTGACACTTTCCTGTTAGGAGACAAATATGGATCTAATAAATGCACCACAGTAAGGGCCCCTTCACTAACAGGTATACTGAACCAATATGTAGTGTTAACTGTGTCTCCTGTGATGAGAACAGACAATGGTATATAGGCCAGTCACAAAAACAAGAGCAGGACTTGGAGAGGAGGGTATATGAGATTAACCTCTCCTCCAGGTGATGAAACATCTCCCTTGGACCTGACCTTGGAGGGAAAGAGAAATGAACGGGTATTGCTGTGGTGGGTCTATGAAGACTGTCCCATAGGGGCTTCTAATTTATGGACCACTTTGGGTGGGGTTCTGGCACAAGGATCCACTCTAAGAACGATGCTCTGGAAGGCCAAACCTGGGACATATCCCCTGTGGTAAAGCCTGTAGCAGATGACTTACCTTTTCTTGTGCTGTGCATCTCTGCTGGGTTAGTGGACACACTGCCATTTAGAATTCTGCAGGTGTCTCACTTAGGCTATCTCAGTCAAACAGGGAAATTCCCACCCTGCATAGGGGCTTATCACTCCAAAAGATAATGACATATGGAAGCTTAGTAAATTTGAAATATAAAGTACATAGTCTTGACTCTTATATCCTTCCTGGCTATCCATTTTTGAAGTGGCTCTCCCTTCTTACTGTTTCCTGGATTTGGAGCTTTCTTCCTTCCAAACCTTTGATCCCCTTTATTTCCTTTTTTCATTCTGGCTGCCTCTGCAACCTCTGTTTTTCCTCCTCTTCTGTCCACCATCAGCTAAACAACTTCTTGTTAGTGGTAGTGGTGCTGTGGAAATGTTCCTTTGGAAATCAGATTTGATTATTTGCATACCCATAATATGTGATGGGAAGAAACTATATTAAAAATATATAAACTAAGAAACACAGAAATGCACCTTGGGAACCCCATGTAGCTTCCTGTTTGTAAATGCACTACTCCCCAATTCCAGTGGTGCATGTCTTCTGAGACACATGGTGTCTCTGTGACACTTGCAGGCAGCAACTTAGTAGTCTTAACCCTATCCAAGCCTTAGACTAGATTGCTGGCAGAAGCTGCAGTTACACCTTCAGGAGGGACACCTTCAAAGTTATTATTGAATGCCTCCTGAAGGGATGTTATCACTGAGTTCCATGGGGGCAATAGTGATTACACCCTGAGGTACCTCCCTGCAGAGGGTGAGCTATTCTTGGGGGTGTTCACTTCCCGGGGTGTCTTGACAAGACAAACCAGTGCAGAATAAATACCCTCAGAGAAAGGGCATCTTGAGGACAGTCTCTTGCATTTCATGCTAACTGCTGACAAACTTGTTCATGAGATGAGTGACATAAGCAGCACACTTGGGGACTGGGTGGGGAGGGTTGTCTCCGTTCTGCTGGCAGCACAGGGTGGCAGGCATGCTCTGCCATCTGCTCCTTCTTTCTTGACCCCCCTCTCATCATGCACATGATTTTCAGCTCAAGGCGAAGTGACGGGCTCTTCTGAGCCTAAAGGGAATTGAGAGCATCTGCTGTGGACTCAAAAACTCAGGCATGCATGGACTTACCTGGATATTTAATGTGGTCCTTTTTTTAAAATTAGGTCTGTGTCCGTGATTTTTTCTTATGTAAACAATCACTAACATCTTTGGCATGGTATTACATGTCCCAAAGAATCACCACAGTCCTGGAATTTGGGCTGTTACAGTGTGTCTCTGAGGATGATGGGAGTTTCCAAAATTCTTCCCTCTCCTTGGGCCACTGGTGCTGCCTAATGTCTCTTATCTTGTGCATCTGTTACGTTTCACAGTGGACAGTTGCACAATGAGGTTTACTGTGTTTTGTCAAAGAGTGGAAGGAATGGGGTGCTTGGGATCCAGCATCTCCTCCTTCATGTCTGAGTAGGTCTATGCTTTGAATGGAAGGATACTGTCACCACTCCCATGCTCCAGATGTCAACTGCCCTTGAATCACATCCTGTATCAGTAAATAGCTCTGGAGCACAATATTTGAGGGTGTCACAGGATCCCTTGGACCTCTGTCTAGAGGAGACTCTGACGGACAGGCCAAAGTCACACTGTTTGATGCTTCCTTTGCCATCAAGGAAGATGTTATCTAGTTGGTATTTCTGTATACAATGCCATTCTTATGGCAGTACGGAACTGCACACACTACCTAAATAAAGATGTACTTGGAATGATCCTCCTGCAGATGGCACACTTTCTCAGTATGGCTCAGCAGATCTCCACAAGTAGCATGTTCCATATAGGTTTGTGCTGTGGTACTGATGATGTTTGGCTGGTCCAGCACCTTAAGGATGTCCATTTCACTATTATTGTTGTGGTCATTCTTCTTATCACTTTCTAGGTTCCTGACATCAGCTTGCACCTCGGTGTGGTTTGAAAGTGGCAGGCCTGCTTTCCCTCAGCAAATGTCTCTTTGCCAGGCGTCCTGAGTATGATGTAAGGAGCTATAAGGGTCTCTTCTTCAGAAGCACTGTTTTCAGGTCCATCTGCATTGTCACATCCTCTCTTGTCTCGCTAGTAAGTTTCTTGATAATTTCCATACCAAAACCAACTGGACAAAAAACATTAAAACAATGAGAAGCATTCATGAAGCAACCTTACAATGAACTTCTGGATCACAGAAAAAATAAGAATGAACTAAACTCCCAAAAAGTACCCAGGAAACATTCTGAAGATGAGAACAGAACCTAAGGAAATGGGCAATAATGAACATTGCAAGGGCATAAAACTAGGTTATTGACAAGGAAGACTAAAACAGACCCCCTACCAAAAGTGATCAAATAGGAGAAGACACAGTGTCAATCTATAGCCAAACTATGATGCTGTTACAACACAAATGGCTAGAATCACAGAAATCCTTTGGAAGTATTTTTTGACAATTAACAAGGGTATCTATTTTGACAAGGAGATACTATATCTATTTGGTAAACATTTCTGAAGATAAAATGTGTTTAAGAAAATCTATGCAAACCAAACCATCTCATAATCATGTTTGGAATAAATTTTGCTTCCTGGTTCACTACTGAGTCCTTAGTAACTGAAACAATGGAAGTCATATAACCATGAAGACTTGGGATATTTTCTTAATTAAATTATGGGCTAGAAATAGTAACAGAAAACCAACATTCCTAAGGAAATAACTAAATTAGAGGGATGAGAAAGATTCACAATGTACAGTTTAGCAGATGCTGTCCTGCACTGAAGGAAAGGAATGACTTCCTAAGAAAAAAATTTCCATTACCCGATCAACAGCAGTCCTCATAAAGTATGCTATCAACAAACCTATTTTTCCTGTTCCCAAACTGTATATTTTATTCTGAGATAATTTGGTGAATATGGTATTATTTTTGTTAACACCATACGGAAAAGTATTCTTTAAATAACATGATCTGGATGGAGGTGGCATAAGCCTTTAGTCTCAGCACTCCTGAGGCAGAGGCAGAGCTAGTTCCAGGATAGCCTGAGCTATTACACAGAGAAACACTGTCTCAAAAAACTAAAAAAATAATGTGGAATGTCATTCTGTATTAGCTAATAATCATTTGCTTTCATGAAAACTCAATTCATGAAATATGTCTCAGAAATTTATGCAGGTTCAACAACACATGAACAAGGCCATGTTTATGCTCAAGACGAGTTCATCACTGAAGAAAAGGACAGTTCTAATATAAAATTTGACAAATATAACATATGAAAAGGAACAGGGCAAAAAGTCCATGACTCCAAGAGTGAAATTAGTCTTTTTCCAGAAAACAGTTGCAAATGAAGATATGAATTTGTGGTATGGACATGGCAGTCCCAAAAGCTAAACTTTGAGGGAACATAAGACAGTCCGGGGAGGATATGGAATATGACAGTGTGTTACGATAATGCGAGAGGGGGACCTTGCTTAGGGGACGTTGGCAGATACCATGGCAGTTGTGGATGACCCAGGTGGAGGGACAAACATGCCAGGCAAACAAAGCTTAAGTGGGAAGTTTTATTACAAAAGGGAGAGTGAATGAAAGAGAAAAGACATAGACAGAGACAGAGAGAGGACAGAAGAGAAGAGGGAAACAGGAAAAGTCTTGGCTGCTCTGGGAGAACAGGGGAGAGGGTGGGGAGAGGGCAAAAGGGAGGTCAGAAAGGGAAAACAGAGCAGAAAGAGAAGAGAGCGGAAAGACAGGACAAAATAGAGTGTAACTGGGCAGAGGTCTCTCTTTTAAAGGGATCCTTTGCACCTGGGCTAACCAGGATACTGCCTGAGTGCATTGTGCCAAGTGACAGGGGCACGCCAGCCTATATCCCTACAAAGGGGTCTGGGAAGGAACCTGGGTGTCTCAGCCACTACAGACTAGACAAAAGAGTGATACACAAGAGTCCCGGGTGATTCAGAATTCAGGCCTGGGTTCCTGATCAGCCACCCCATAGGAACAAGGACCGGTGGGCTAATCCACACCCTCCAAAGTCGATTTGACAAAGAGAACAGTGTGGGTCTCATGAAACAAAACAGTCTTGGTAGACAGCGGCAAATCAGGCTGTACCTGGTGTTGTTTGAGCAGATCAGAGACTTCTGTCTGTGCCCACTGCCTCTGCCTCCTTGGGGTGAAAGCTCTGCCTTCAACATCACAAAACTGTCACCAACTGTCTCTTTTTCACCTCCCTCGTGCCGTGCATCCTGATCTGTGACCTGATTGGTGACTTGTACAGAACTGAGCCAATCAGATTAGGCTAACCTCATTGGTCAGATTGAAGTCATGTGACCAGTGTCAGCTCTCTACTGATTTGGTGCTCACCTGGACTACAGGGTTAGAGCAGAAGTCTTTGCTTGTTCAGTGGCATGTGTGCAGAGACATCACAGCTACGCTGCATCTCCCCCGCATTTCGTCCCTTCAAGGGGTCCCTTTAAGTTGTGAAAACGGATTAGGTTAGATTGGGGTGTGGCCTCTGTTTTAGTCTATTCTGAGTGGAAGGGCAACGAACATGGTTGAGCATGTATGTATATGTGGAGTACAACATCCAGTCCTTCGGGCATATGTCAAGTCATAGCTGGAACCCATGCAGATTTATATTTCACTGGTTTTGAATTCTCCACAATGATTTACTGGGTGGCTAGGCCTTGGCATCTATTTGTTACTGTTGTTGTTTTTGTTTAAGTAGCATCTCATGTAGGCAGGCAACCTGCTGTAGGGTGAAGCTGAACTTGAACTGCTGGTTATCCTGCCTCTACCCTGAAGCGCTGGGACTATAAGGCATACACTCTTATTATAAGCAGAAACCTCTATTTACATATAGGTTTTCCATTTTTTCTAGATGCAAGAAGTTCACCTGATGGATCATTAAAGATGAAAGGATACAATGTTATACTTCTGAATGGGATCAAACAAGAGTAAAACACCATTTAGGTCCCATTGGGGCATTTCAAAAGGACAATAAAACCAGTGGCTGAGCTCACAAGTAGCTATTGGTTCAATTCTGAGTAGCACATTCATCAGGGTTCCTGGCAAATGCCTGTAATCCCAGACCTCTTGGGAGACAGAATGAACAGAAGTTCAATGTTATATCCTCAGCTACATAGAGAGTTTGAAGCCTTCCTGTCACAGGAAACTCTGTCTCTAGATAAATGTACTCATGTAAGTATGTAAAATAAAGGAGGAGGACTAGGTCATACTGGTACGAGTACCTTTATCTGACATGTCCAAGCATGGCTCAGCGACACAGTCCTACCTGACAGGTATGAGATACATTGTCAGAGCAGTTTTCTTGCTTGCACCCTATCTATTCCTCCTCTATTTCTCATCAAAACAGTATAGGCCTGCCATGAATATCAAGCAAATGTGGTGTATCAAGCTGCATTGAAACTAGGCATCTGCTCTCCTAGTAAAGCTGGACAAGGCAACCAGGTAGAAGCAAAGGGTCCCAAAAGCAGGGCACAGAGTCAGGGACAGCCCCTGATCCCGCTGTTATGAGTCCCACAAGAATACCATGACAAACAAATATAATATATATGAACAGTCCTATGCAGGCTCTCCCTGATTACTGGTTCAGTCTAAGTAAGCTTCTAGGAGCCCAGGTTAATTGATCCTGGTGGTTTTCTTCTGGTGTCCTTGATCCCTCTGCCTCCTACAATCCTTCTGCAAGGTTTCTCCAAGCTCAGTCTTATGTTTGGCACCTGTTTCCATCAGTTACTGAGTGAAGCCTCTCAAGATGACAATTGGTCTAGACACCAATCAATGAGTATAGTGGAATATCAATAGGAATTCTTTCATTGACTTTTTTGCCAGTTGTGTTTGATTCTATTCTGGGTCTCTGAGCTATGCAGACTCTGGGGTCTTGTCCTCCATGCAGTGTCGGGGTGGGCTAACTTTCATGGTATGGGTCTCAAGCTGGACCAGTCTTGGCTGGACACTCCCAAAAATTTTGTTTGTATATCATGTATCACAAATTATTTTAAATAATGAACATTCTCCTAAAATGCAATCATTCTCCAGTCTCATCTCTTTATGCGTTAGTTTGTGAATCCCCACTGGAAAAAAAATTGTAGTCATCCACTCCTTCCTATGCTCTTGGTGACCAGTATGTTAAAGCTAAGTGCCATAAGCTTCTCTAAATTGCCTCAGCTAATGAGGTTGGATATGTTACACATTAATTATTTCAACAAATCCTCAATTGACTGTCCTTCTGGGGAATTTTGTATCAGTATGAAAATCTACAGAATCCCCATTGCAGGCAGATGCAAGTAGAGGATGAGTTCTTTTCAGACTTCAGCAATGGTCCCACACCTCTGAGACTTCTCCCTGTCCTTCAAGTCTTCATTGACCCCACACTCAGTCTTTCTGACCCCAAACACAAATATCCGCCTACACTCCATGGAAGAGGCCAATGCAACCTACAAATACCTGTCATCCCTGATGAACCATTATACAATATGGAACTGCGGCTGATTTCATCAAAACATCGAAATTTGCAAGGTTGGAGCTATGATTTATATATTAAGAAAACTGACTTCTTCCAGAGACCCAGCTTAAAATCCCAGCACATGCATAGAGGCTCACACTTATCTCTAACTCTAATCAGGAACCTGCCATGCTCTTCTTTCCTGGGGGGACAGTGCACACATGTGTTGTAAGACCTACTCACAGTCCATAACTACTCATACTCAAAACAGAGCTACACAGAATAAATCACTGAATAGACTGTTTTTTAAAGGTATTATTTAGAGCTGGGGAATGTATGTACCATAGTGACACTGACAAAACCAACACATGAAAAGGCATGTGCTTATCAGAATTGAACACAGTATTCAGTGTTGGAAATAACAGTCTAGAGATTATCTTCTATACAAGTTAACACAATCACATTTCCCTGTGCACTGGTAGTAATTTGGTCATTCATAAAAGTTTCCTCCCTCACACTCATATAAACCTGTCGAAAAAAATTTCTGTAAAGTCTTTCTAAATACTTATCTAATTGATACAAGTAATAGTGGGGTCTTAAAATGTGTGTGTGTGTGTGTGTGTGTGTGTGTGTGTGTATACACATACTTTTTCCCTTAACTTGCAAGTTCTCATGACTTCACAGCACAAAAAAAGAATCCCACCCTGATGACATTTCTTCCTGTTTATTGTACAGAGATGCAGGAGGGGATTGATCACTTAGGATAAGTGAGCCATCTGTTCTATGGACTAGAATAGACTTAGAGAAAATATTTTGAGATATAGCCATGAACCTGCTTCCACCCTCATCCCCCATCAAAGGCAAAGGAGGGACACCCTAGCCAAATGCTTGACAAACAAGCATGAGGAACTGAGTCTTCAAATACCCAGAGACCACACTAAATCCTGGCATGGAAGTTTGGTGTGGCTATAACTCTAGGTATGTGGAGAAGGACACAGAAACCTCCTGTTGTCTGTGCCAACAGTCCTAGTGGACAACCTCTAGGTCCCAGGAGAAACTGTGTTAAAAACAGTGACAGAGGAATACACTTGATACTGACCTCGGACTACTCCTATTTAAAAATTACATGAAAGGGCTTTTGAGAACAAAGGGAATCAAACATCTGTGTCTAGAAACATACACACACACACACACACAATAACATACCTCCACAACACAAAATGCCCCACATGCACATACACAGGAAGGGAGTACGAATATGGGACAAAAGAACTTACTCTTTTTAATTTCATCTTTCAGACATGATCATTCTTACCATGTGTGGTGACCTAGTTTTCAGTCTTCAATAATGGGGTTTTCCCAATCCCATTCTAGTGCAAGACTCTGGAAGAACTGGGATTTCCTTTTTTTTTCTGGTTTTTCGAGACAAGGTTTCTCTGTATCGTTTTGGAGACTGTCCTGGAACTCACTCTTCAGACCAGGCTGGCCTGGAACTCAAAGAGATCTGCCTGCATCTGCCTCCCGAGTGCTGGAATTAAAGGCGTGTGCCACCAATGCCCAGCCTGGGATTTCCTTTATCATCCTCTGTAGATGTGTCTGCAAAAGAGCAGTGGCTGAACCACTAAGAACAGTGTCCATGTGCCGCCCATCCTTATGCAGAACCTCTGGACAGCAGTTCCCTGTCCTTAACTCTGGTTGAATCTGATTGAGATGAAACAATGTATTCATAATTGGAGTTTATGCTGCAGTCTGTCCTTACAAGGCTCTATTAGTACTAGTTTGTTTTTATTTTGTGTTTTCCTCTTCTGATTTTTGATTATTTGTTTTTATATATCTCTAAGAAATATGTTTTCATTTTCATACCTGAGAACTACTCAAGTATCTTCAGTTAAAATAGTGAAAGTAGCACATATATGAGTTTTTCCCTCCATTGCTAATGCTTTGTGCAAACATTTGGATACTCAGATGTAACTATGAGAGTCTCTCATAGAAAATCAATGTAAAATGACCAATCTGTTTGCTGCGGTCCTGGCTTGTCTCAGTCTGTCATGGTTATTGCACTATGTTAAGACACACAGAATTGTTGAAAGCTCAGAAAATCAAAATGTTCCTTTGTACATGGAAATGATAGGTCACTGCCCACAGATTGTTCTCTTCCAATTTTCTATTTAAACTGACTTATACAACCATACATGTAAGACTGCATACCAATGAGTGTGTATGTATGTTTGTACAAACATGGGCATGTAGGAGTGTGTGAGAGTGTGGACACATGCATGCGTTTCTGTGAATGAGAATAAGTGAGCTTATATGTTTGAGAGAACTGCATGTGCATATGTGGTGACATATTCAGACAAAAGGCTTATTTGTCCTTATCCCCCTCAATGTGACACTGGAATTAACACAGTGCAATGGGGCATGCTGGCCCATGATTCACATGAACTTCCATGCTAATAGAGCCAAGGTGGTATCTTCCTGGCAATAACAGCCAGGAGATACCCTAGGATTCATTGTGCTGTCTCTGCCTCATAGTGTCCTTGAATTAGGCATGAGGCTAACTCCTGGATAAACTGCTCAACTCTACCATTGTATGGTACATGAGGATACTCTCTGGGCTTGTTCTTGGACCTGATACAGAATCACAAGAAATGCATGTTTCACCATGACCTTCCTGTTTTTTAATACTCATATTTGCTGTGTGTTGCCTACATTAGGCATATCTATCTAGAAATAAGACCTATACCCATTCTTCTTTGCTTTGTTTCCAAATTTAAAAAAGAAAATAAAATATAGAAATAAGACCTATAGCTAATATTAATAATAACATTCTTACTAGAAACAAGGTTTAATCACACCATAGTTTTAAAATATCAAATCAATCTACCACAATCCTAATACTCATAGATCAATCTGGACTCGACAATGCAACAGAATTACATACCAATTTCCCTTATGAACATGTTAAAATTCTCAAGAAAATACTTGCAAATGAAATCTAAGAACACATAAAAATATCATCCACCATGATCAAGTGGGCTTCATCCCAAAGGTCTATGGATGTTTCAAGACACATAAACCAATATATGTGATCCATGATATAAACAACTTGAAAGACACAATCACATGAACTTCTTATATGAAGACCTTTGACAAATCCAACCCTCTTCTCAATAAAAGTTCTGGAGAGATTATCGATACAGGGGACATACATAAGTAGACTAAAGACAGGTTACAAGTCCAAAACCAATATCAACATAAATGGAGAGACACTCAAAGCAATTTTATTAAAATCAGTAACAAGACAAGGTTTTCTGCTCTAGCCATACCTCTTCAAGATAGTAAGATACAAAGTATCTTTACTTGCAGATGATATCATAGTATACAAAACTGACCTTAAAAATTCCACTGGGAGACTCCTACAGATAATAAAGAAGCTGTATACAAATTAACTTAAAACCTCAATAGCCCTCCTATATAAAATTGAAATGCCAACTGAGAAAAAACAATCAAGGAAACATTACCATTTACAACAGCCTCAAATAATATGGAAGAATCTTGGGGTAAAGCTTACCAAGAAAGCAAAAGATAAACAAAACAATCCTTAAAGACATTGAAGCTATCAGAAGACAGAATGCATACCCAAGCTCATGGATCAGTAGGTAAACCTGGTCATCCTACCAAAAGCAATATACAAATTCAATACAACCCCCACCAAAAATCCAAAATAATTTTTCACAGATTATAAAACGACAATTTTCAGATTCATCTGAAAGCATTAAAAATCTAGGATTGCTCAAAGAATCCTGAATAATAAAATAACTGAGATAAATCACTATTTTTTATTTTAAGCTCTAATACACAGTGCCCCCCCTAAACTTGATGATTAATCAAGTTGAAGACAAAGACAATACCACACCCATATAGACACCTGATTATTGACAAAGAAGCCAGAAACACACACTGGGAATTAGACATCATCTTCAGCAAATGGTACTGGTTTAACTGAATGACTTTGGGTGCTGGTGGCGCACACCTTTAATCCCAGCCTTCAAGAGACAGAGGCAGGAGGGTCTCTGAGTTCATGGTTAACTGGTCTACAGAGCATGTTCCAGGAGAACCTCCAAAACTACACAGAGAAACCCTGTTTGAAAAACAAAAAACAAAAACAAACTGGATGGCTGCATGTAGACAAATCCAAATCAAAATATATCCATATTGATAACCTGTACAAAAATAGATCAAAAAAGAAAAAAGAAAGAAGCTCATCACCAACACAAATTATCATACTTCCTACTACCTGTCAAAACCCTGTCTTATCATCATTGCACTTATTCACAGTCACCACCCAGCACAGGATAACAATATGTCAGCTCCTGGAAAGAAGATGGCTCGGCCACATTGAAGACCATATAGAACCTGCAAGTAAAGAAATCCTTCCCAGGGTCGTAAAAGAAATCCTTCCCAGGGTCGTAAAAGAAATCCTTCCCAGGGTTGTAGAGTCTATGAGCACAACTCGATATACCTGTGAAAAGATTGTGTCATCCCTAAGACAAAGACTGCCAAATAATAAAGTAAAATCCACTTTCAATATTCTGAAATACAAATTGAGCTATGAGGGCAGTTATCATCAATATGAGAAGCCCTGGTTAACCAGCATCCCTGTTCATGCTGTGTCCCCAGTTCTCCCCTTGAAGAGGAGAGCTAGTCAAACAGCCTTTCCTACAATTATATAATCAGGGATTAGTCACTCTCAGGAGGATGGTGTAGAAGAAAGATGAAAGAGATGCTGAAGCTATATCCTGCTCAACAAATACTCCTACATGGAACTGATGCCCAGATCAGATGAAATCATCTCAGAAGGAGTTTTCCTGATGACTACTGTGATCAACAGTGCCACTGTGGACATTGTAGTGTATCAACACCAAATCCAGTAGATTTTGTGTGAAAAGTTCTGCAGGCTGAGGCAGTAACTTCAAAAGAAGGAGGTCTTCTGGAAGTAGTTGTGAAACTCTCTGCCAGAGAAAACTATCAGGCTTTGATTCTTGTGGCAATTTCTGCTTGTTCTTTTATCCTTTTTCATAATAACAAAATGTTCCTGAAGACCTACGCTGACATTTCAAGTGAGATACAGATAAGAAACCATTCCCTGAGATGGCTCATTCCCCTGACCTCATCTCTGGTAAAAATGGTGCTGTCCAAATCATTCATGTCATTCACATAAGTATAATAGTAAAAACTTTCCCAACAATAAACATTCATATGGCTATAGATGTGTCATCAAGAGTGGGCTTAAGTGTTTGGTAAAGAAAACTTTTAATAAAGAATTAAAATAGCTCAATATTACAAAAACTTACAAGAACTAGGTGTAATAGATGTTAAACAATAAGTGACCATAAAAATTCATTAATTTGATATAAGAAAAAATGCTGTTACCCTTGCACATTCCTATGTTTTGATTAATTAAGGATGATTCTGTGTTTTGATTAACCCTGGTTGATGGTTTTCTTTGTATTTTTCAGTTACTGTACCAAGTAACAATATTGTCATCTGGTTGGGTTTGCTTCACAAAAACATCCCCTGAGGAAATATCTGTATAAAAACCTTTGCTTGAGAGCTGCCATAAAAACTCAGATTCAAACTGCCTCTGTGTTTGTTTCTGTTTGTCACTGCGGAATACTTACCGACCTAGTCTTTGAGGACCTCCAATATGAATCAGCACTGGATGGAACACCCACCACGTTTCTGAACATGGTCTTCTCCACAGAGCAACCATTCATGGGGCCAACATGCCCAATGACCAGTGCCAGTTTGAATTCACAACCTCTGGATCCAGGCCATTCAGGGCCTGGAAGCTGATAATCAGGCAAATTTCCCATGCACTCAGGTCACTGGGTTTTGCTCCTGGACTACTCCATGGTGAGTCCTGGATCCTCATATAAGCTGCAAAGAAAAGAGAGCACAGTGCAGTCCTTAAGAGACCCATTTGCTTTGGCCACCCAAATGTTCTCCTCCTTTGTATTTTGGCTATGTTATTTAACAAATATCCTGTTTAAATGACAAATGTACTATCTAATAGTGTACCTTCTTTGTATCTCTCCCCTTCAGTCAAATCCACACATAAAACCACACACAGAAATGCATGGACACATACATCATGCTCTCAGAACTGATTAGATATACAATCATAATTGCCAAGCCTTCCACATGGGTGAGTTTCTGGACCTTCTCAGTACCATATTCTTTACCAACAAACTCCACATATACATATATGACAATTTGTCAGGTCATGCTAGGTATTCCCTTTCCTACTGGCAATTCAGCACCCTCCTGTCCTCTCTCCTCTGCATGTCTCCATTTCTCTACACACACACACACACACACACACACACACACACACACACACACACACACACAAAATTCTAGGTGACAGGACCATTAGTCATACCCTGTCTTATAAAGTACCATATATACTTTACTTCACTGTCCCTACTAGGAAAACACTCTCCTCCAGTAAATCTGCTCATTTTTGTACAAATCTACATATCATGTCTTGATATATAACCCTTCTTCATCAACTTAAAGCCCACTTGTATGTATCAAATTAGTTGTTACAACCTACTACATAACCCCTGCCTGACCATCACCTTCTTCATATTCACATAAGCGGATGTCATGTTATGTTGTATTTATCTCCCATTAAGCTCCACATACATATGGATGGCTAGTTGTCAGGTATTGCATAATAGCTCCTCTCCTACATCCAAAGAACTACTATGTCACAATATGGTAGGTGTTAGGTAGTACTGTGTATTCCCTCCCCAAGAGTTACAGCACTCATACACAGATAGGTTTCAGCTCCTGCTAGGTACAAACTTTCCTATGACAAAAACATACATAGATTCTAATTAATACACAGCATGCTATCATAGTTAGGGTTTCTATTGTTGTGAAGAGACACCATGGTCACTTATGAAGGAAAACATTTAATTTTGTGGATTACTTCTTCAGAGGTTTAATCTAGTGTCAGTGCCAAGAGATGGTGGCAAGCAGCAGACATGGTACTGAAGAAGAAGCTGAGAATGGAAAGGAGATACATCTTATTCCTGCAGAAAAGGGGAAGTGGTGTGAGACACTGGGCATGGCTTGTGCACATATGTGACCTCAAATCACACTTCAACAGTGACACACTCCCTCCACACCACTGCAGCAAAGTATAACCTCCTAATAATGCCACTCATTTGGACCTTACGAGGTAGGGGAATGATTATATTCAAGCTACCACATTCCCTCCATGGTCTCCATAAGCCTATATCAATATTATAATGGAAAATTCATTTAGTGCAACTTCAAAAGTCATTATATCACAGTATCAGCTTGTTTTAAAGTCCAAAGTTCAGTGTCTTCTGAGATTAATGCAATCTCTTAACTGTAATCCTAGCACTAGGGAGGCAGAGTCAGGTGGGTCTCTGTGAGTTCAAGACCAGCCTGGTCTATAGAGTGGGTTTCAAGACAGGCTCCACAACACCACTGAGAAAACCTGTCTCAAAAAACGAAAACAACAACAACAAAACAAACAAACAAACAAAATACCCAAAATCAAAGTCAAAAGCCAGGTCACATACTACCAACATATAATGCATAGGATATAAATTACTTTACAAAACATAGTGAGGGGAAGATAGTGAGGAAATACTGGACTGGAGCAAGTTCAGAAAAAGCTGAGCAAACTCCAAATTCTGCATCTTTTTCTCTGAGGTCAAAATGGTCTTCAGATATCTAACTCCTTTTAGTTTTGTTGACTGCAACATATTTGTCTCTTGTGCTTCCTTTTTAAGAATAAGCAGCTGTGTTTGGCAGGAATCCCATGTCTAACTTCTAGGCAATTCAGTGTTCAAACATGTAGCTTCATACAATTGCCTCTTTAAGCCTCCATTCATGGATATCCCTGGCATGTGCCTGGCCCCAACAGCTTTCCTTAGTAGGGGAAGGAGATTCCATAATGCCTCTTCTAACTTTTCCTATAAAGCAAGAACCATGTAGCAGAATCTGCTAAATTCTGCTGCTTTTTGGCACTGAACATGGCCCCATTGTTTAATGAAACATTGCACAGCCCATCCAAGACCTGCCAAGCCACAAGATCACCCTAACTCTGAGTAACAGCTGGATATCCCAAATAAGTCCCAGTCATGATTCAGTATTCATGGTCAAAAAGAAAACAAACTCTCTGGTGGTTGTCCTCTCACCTCTAATCTCAGAATTCTTGAGGCAGAGTCAGTCAGTTCTCTGTGAACTCAAGGCCAATAAAATACTCAAGTGGAGTTCCAGGATAATGAGAGCCAATACACAGAGAAAATTCTCAGGTGTTTAAGTGTGTCTCTTTTATGTGATTTCAATATTCATACATGTCTAGGAATTCCTTTCATACTTACAAATTGCCTATGGTTAAATAGCTAAAAACTACTCTAGGTTTTAAATTGCTTAGGACATCACATTTCTTTTCCATTATTTAATTTGTATCTTATGTCTCTTGATCAGTTTGGGCCAGGGTTTTTCATTTCGATGCATTCTTGAAAATTTGCTCATCAGTTTCTAAGATCTTAGTATTTCCTTCCTATGTACACTTCCGTGTTTCAATCTTTCATCTTTACAAAGTCTCTCCTAGTACTTTTAGGTTGTGTTATTTGTGGCTACTGGAAAGGGTATTGTTACCCTGATATAATTCTCAGCCCATTTACCATTTGTAAATAGGAAGGCTACTTATTTTTTTTTAGATGATCTTGTATCCTGTCATATTTCTGAAGGTGTTTTTTTGTGGAGATTTCTAGTCTTACTAGGTCCGGCTAGCCTTCTTAGCACCGAAATAGCACACAAAGACTTATAAAACTGTGGGCAGATGGCTAGGGCTTCTTACTGGCTAGCTCTGTCTTAATTATTTAATCCATTACTACTAATCTGTACATTTTACATGGCCTTATCTTACGGGAGAATGCCTGGAGAATTGTATCCTCTCAGTCTCCAAATTCCAGCAACACATTCAGGCCCAACAGAAGAAAGAACTGAATAGCTTTTTGGAGTCCCCCCAAAAAAAGATATCAGCACACACAAAAGAGCAGCACACACGTAGACTCAGAGGGGCATCAGCAACACTAATGTGCAAGGACAGTGGGTAATTTTGAAATCCCCTAAAGGGGGCATGAGGGATGTCACGGTGGTTAAGAGTTTTTACAGAAGTCTTCAGTTCAGTTCCCAGCACTATGTGTAACGGAAAACAGTACCTTAGGGGAAGGGAATTTGGCTACAGCCCACACCAGCACTGGCCCTGAGGAATCAGAAAATGTTGATGATGGCTACAATGTGCCTAAGCCACCTGTGCCGGCTGGACTGGCTCGGCGGACTCTGTCCGACATCTCTAATGCCAGCTCCTCCTTTGGCTGGTTATCTCTGGATGGTGATCCTACAACAAACTTCAATGAGAGTTCCCAAGTTCCTGAGCGGCCCCCTAAACCATTCCCTCGGAGAATCAACTTTGAACGAAAAGCAAGTAGCTGTCAGCAAGGTGGAGGTGCCACTGCTAACCCTGCTTTCACGGCCCCCTCACCACAGCTCTCGAGTGAGATTGAGTGTCTCATGAGTCAGGGCTACTCCTACCAGGACATTCAGAAAGCTTTGGTCATTGCCCATAACAACATTGAAATGGCCAAAAACATCCTCCAGGAATTTGTTTCTATTTGTTCTCCTGCCCACGTAGCTACCTAGCACATCTCTTCCTGCTGTGACTTCAGAGGACCCATGAGCCAGGCTTCCACTCAAGGAGCACCTAGGAAAGCAGTGGCTTCTTTTGGGACATCCACAGTGAGGTCCCACCTTTTCTGTGGGTATCGATCGACACCCATGGTTCCAAGATTTCAAAGCAGTGGAATGACTATGGAGCAGCTAGTGTGTTCACTGTTGTGTTGGTCTTAAGAGTGTGTCTGTATTACATGGTAACCAACCCCTGGAACAGTACAGAAAGCAGTAGAAGTGCTGTGCTGTAGCCCTAGTTAAGGACTTTAGACTTTCCTGTTAAGGCAGGGAGGGTGTCTGTCTGTCCTTCCTTCCTATGATTATGAGATTATCCTGCTGTGTGTGAATCCATACAGGGAGTTAGCATAAGAGCTTCAGGAAGGAATCTCTGAAGACTCCCATCTACTGTGGTATTACACCTAACCCTGCTGGATGTTATAACCTCAACACTCCCCTTTGGCTTAGATTATCATGTGCTTAGCTAAGTTTTACAGTGTCTGAATAAAATCATACTACTAGGCGCTTCTACAGGACGGCATTCCTTGGTACATTATTCAAAGACTAGCTGTTTAATAAGAGGCATAGCTGCATCTGGGTCCCCAAAAACCCTTCCAACAGCTTCCACTAGCCTTGCTACAAAGTCTGAAAAAGGTTCCATTGGGCCTTGCAAGATCTTGGTAAGATTGCCACTCACTTCTTTATTTGGCAATAATTTTTAAGCCTTAATGGCTATCTGATTTACTTGTTCAAACACCTGTACTGGATATCCTGTCTGCATGTTTGCAAATCTACCTTGTGCAAGTAGCATATCCCTATCCCAATGTTGATTTCCTGCAGCCTGATTAGCGGCAGCTTGCTCATTGGCAAATTCAATTGAAAAGGCTTTCCTTTTCTTTTCCTTTTTTTCTGATCTTGGTCATCTCTAATTGTTTTATGAGAGCTTGGAGTTCCTCCTCATCCTCCTCATCCTCCTCATCCTCCTAATCCTCATCATCCTCCTTGGAGTCCGTAGACTCTGACTGAGTCTTCTAGATCTTCTAGAGCTGAGTACATCTTTCTTTTCTGTTTTCCTCCCTTTTCACTGTTTGTATGTTCAGACCTCTCTTCCTGAACCATTTCTAGGGCTGCTTGTCCATTCTCCACTGCCTCACTGAACTTTTGATCCTCAAGACAGCTCTTTACAAATCTCCAAACTGGCCTCACCCCAGCCTTGAGCATCCCCTGATCTGCAGCAAAATCAAGGTCCTTGCCTAGCTTTTCCCATGAAGGGATAGTAAGGCTCCCGGAGATTGCAGACCAGGGTGCAATGGTATCACATTCCTCTAAGAATCTTTTTAGAGTACCCTCTTTTATCTTTAAATTTTTTGAACGAAGTAGCTCACTTAGAGCCAGAAAAATTGGATGAGAAGTAGAGTTTCCCATCTTTAAATCTTTGAAAACCCAGTTGTCCTGTCTAATGGGAACTTTCAACGCACTCTCTGCAGCATCAGGCAAAAAAAGAAATACCAGAAAAATGCGTTTAGGAAGACCCAGATAGCCAGGAGCAGAAAAGGATCCATAACTGACCTCCACTCCTTTTACTTTCGATTTGCTGCTAGCCAAACTAACAATGTTTCTTTTTAGCTTTTACTTTTGGTTCCCTGCTAGCCAAACTAACAATGTTTTTACTTTCGGTTCGCTGCTCCAGGAACCATTTGTCCTGCTCTCTCTTTACCTACAGAGAGGAGCAAACCAACCGCTTTCGTCACAGTCCCTTTTTTACCCCGCTCTTGTCGCGGTCCTTATGCCACTTTTGTCGTGGTCCCTTTACCCCACTTTTGTCGTGGTCCTTTTATCCACTCTTGACGTGGATCCCCCTCTTACCTGGGGACTTACCAGTGTACTGCCCTGACAGCAAGAAGTTCTGAGTCCTCAGCTGTTCCCCGTACAGGCCACCAGCTGTTGCAACAGCCTAGACTGCAAGGAAGACGGGACTCGGGAACTCTTCTCCAAGCAGTTTACTAAGAAACCTTGAAACAGTCTTCTTCTCCCCAGGGAAAGCCAGCCCACAGCTTATATGGCCTAGGCATAGCCAACCCCAGCACGCCACTTGGCGACAGCAGATAGGTCCACATACACGGAAGCAAGCCTTGGGAGCCTTGACCAAATATGGAGTTGTTTACTCCGAGGGCACTCACCATTGGGAGGGTGGTAGGCGAAAGCCTGCACCATCTTTAATGTGCAGCACGTCGCAGCTCTCCACAAGATATCCCCCATCAATGTTTATCAGCTGTATGAGTCCCCTGGTAGAATTTTGGGAGTCACTTATGTATACTATCATGTCTTCTGAAAATAGTGAAAATTTGACTTCTTCCTTTACAATTTGATTCCCCTTGGTCATTTGTTGTCTTATTGCTCTAGCTAGAACTATGAATACTATGCAAAATTAATATAGAGAAAGTGAGCAGCCTTATCATGTTCCTGGTTTTACTGGAATTGCTTTAAATTTCTCTCCATTTAATTTGATGTCTTCTGTTGGCTTTCTGAAATTGCTTATATTATGTTTAGATATGTTCTTTGTAGCCCGATCTCTCTAAGACTTTTATCATGAAGGGGTGTTGGATTTTGTCTAAGGCTTTTTCAGCATCTAATGAGTTGTTCATTTGGATTTTTTTCTTTCAGTTTATTCATGTGGTGGATTAAGTTGACAGATTTTTGCTGGGCATTGGTGGCACACGCCTTTAATCCCAGCACTCCAGAGGCAGCGACAGGTGAATCTCTGTGAGTTTGAGACTAGCCTGGTCCACAAGAGCTACTTCCAGGACAGACTCCAAAGCCATAAAGAAACCCTGTCTCAACTGGGCGGTGGTGGCACACGCCTTTAATCCCAGTACTCGGGAGGCAGAGGCAGGCAGATCTCTGTGAGTTCAAGGCCAGGTTGAACTGACAAACTCCAAAACAATACAGAGAAACCTGTCTCGTAAAAACCAAAAAAAAAAAAAAAAATGAAACCCTGTCTCTAAAAACAAAACAAAACAACAATCCCTCCCCAAAAAAACAACAAAAAAGTTGACAGACTTTCATATGTTGAACCATCCCTGCATCTATGGGATGCAGCGTAGTTGGTCATGGTGATTGACTTTTTTGTTGTGGTCTTGTATGCAGTATGCCAGTAGTTCTTTGAGTATTTTTGAATCAATGTTCATGAGGGAGATTGTTCTGTAATCCTCTTTCTTAGTAGAGTCTTTGCGTGGTTTGAGTGTCCAGGAAAGTGTATCCTAGTAAAAAGAATATGGCAATGTTCCTTCTGTTTCTATTGTGTGGAGCAATTTGAGGAGTACTGATATTGGTAAAATTATGTGTGAAACCATCTGGCCCTGGCCTTTTTTTGTGGGGGGAGACTTTTGATGACTTCTTCTATTTGCTTAGGGGTTATAGGTCTATTAAATTTGTTTATCTGCTCTTTGTTTAGTTCTGGTATTTGGTACCTACATAAAAAATTGTGCATTTCTCTCAGATTTTCAGATTTTGTGAAGTACATGTTTTCAAAGTATAACCTGATGATTCTCTAGTTTTCACCAGTGTCTGCAGTTATGTCCCCATTATCATTTCTGATGTTGTTAATTTGGATATTCTCTCTCTGCCTTTTGGTTAGTTTGGATAAATGTTTATATATTCTTGATTTTACTGAAGAACGAGCTCTTCGTTTCATTGATTCTTTGTATTGTTATCTGTGTTTATATTTCATTGATTTCAGCCCTGAGTTTCATTATTTTCTGATGCATATTCCTCCTAGGTGAATTAGCTTCTTTTTGTCCTAGAGCTTTTGGGTGTGCAGTTCAGTCACTAGCGTGAGATTTCTCCACATTTTTATGAAGGCACTTAGTGCTATGAACTTTCCTCTTAGCAGTGTTTTCATAGTGTTCCATCGGTTTCGTTATTTATGCTTTCATTTTCTTTTTCCTGGGCTGGTTCTACTCGTGATAAGCAGCTGCCGTTGGCAGGTATCCCATGGCATCTCCAATATCCTGTAGTATCCCAGACAACCACATACACAGCTTTATGTAATGGCCTCTATAGGCCTTCATTCAGAGATACCCCTGACATATGCCTGGCTCCAACAGCTTTCCTTAGTTGCGGAGAGAGACTCCTCAATGCCTTTCTTCTACCATGGACGCTAAACCCAGGACCATGTAGATGAAGCGGCCAAGTTCTGCTGCTTGCTTAGCCTTGAACAAGACCCTCTTGTTTAACTACATCTTAACCAACTTTTTGTTTTTCAATGGTTTCCTTCACTGCCTGTCCTTGACTTTTCTGGATTTTTCTCTGTAAACCGGATTTGACTAAAAATCAAAGATCCACCAGCTTCTACCTTGCTAGAGTTGGGATTAAAGGTGTGCACCATTACACGTAGCTCTAGACTATTCTTTAATTCCTTTTTTACTCAAGGGAAACTTGACTCAGTGGGATCCTGCCCTGAGGCCACCAAACCCTTTATCCCAAGTCTTAATCTGTGTATCTCCTTAAACAAACACAGGATGTAACTCCAGTCTACTTACTGGTACTCCTGTTCTACTCAAATTCTTCTGTTGCATGCATTTTTCTACCTCAGTTTGCTCTTTGTCATCTTAAGTCATCATTAGTTTTACCACTAATTTTGGAACAATGCAGTCTATGCTAGGTGTTTTGGGATTTCTTCTGCCAAAGGGATTCAAACAAATCTCCGTAGTTTACCCTCAGGCAGACTCCTCAGACAAGGTCAAACAGCAGCCATATTCTTCACCAAAACATCACCACAATTATCTCATAAATATTCTTCTCCTTTGAAACCTATAGATCCAGTCACCCACACACTTCAAATCAAACTCAGCACCACTGTTTTTCTTGCTTTTACTAATGGGGCCCATTAAGCATCCCTTAAAATTTACAACTGCTTTCCTAATCTGTAGTCCCAAGGTCCATATTCCTTCAGACAAAACCATGGTGTGATCTCTCACATCGCTCTTCCTGTCCCTGGTAACCCAGAACTTACTAGCACAGGAAAATTTTCTGAACACAACCCCATTAGCACACACACCTAGGTCAACAATTAATAAAGTGGACCTCATGAAACTGAGAGGCTTCTGCACTGCTAAGGACACTGCCATTCAGACAAAGTGGAAGCCTACAGATTGGGACAAGATTTTTCACTATATACAGATCCAGTAGAGGGATAATATTCACAATATAAAAAGAGTTCAGTATTTATTCCTGGCATATGAATGAACTTTGGGAATCAATTTCACATGGAGGGATGGTCTCTCATCCTGGACACATGGGGGAGGGCCTGCCCCAGATGATGTGATAGACTTTGGAAATCCCACATGGAAGTCCTCACGCTCCCTGGGGAGCAGAATGGGTATTGGTGGGGGGGGCTGAGGAGGTTGGTGGGGATCAGGAGAGGAGGGAAGGAAGAGGTAGCTGGGATTGACATGTGAAGAAAGCTTGTTTCTAATTTAAATTTAAAAAGAGAAGAAAAACAAAACAAATGGAAAAAATAGAATTAAATAACTAGATGTCAAAAACTCCCAATATCCCAACTAAAAATGTGGAACAACCTGAACGGAGAATTTTCAAATGGGAAAACAAAAAGGAATGTGAAATACTTAAGGAAATGTGCTGCAGCCCTGCATTACTGGTGGAAGCCCCAATCAGGCCAACTAACTCAGGCGGAATCAGGGTCCAGATGCAGTGCTTTGAGTTCATCTGCTCCACAATGAACTACAAGCTGCTGGAGCACATGGAGGTGCAATTCCCAGGTCTGCTTGCCAGCCCCTGTCTTGGGGATGTTGTGGCTTCAGTTAGCACTGCTTGTCCAGCTGAGAGACAAATCCAGTGTAGTGGGTGGGGCTGGGGTGGTGTGGGAGAGTGATGATTCCTCTAGGCTGCAGGCACACATTTAGAGCCTGGCAAGTCTTTGGAAGGTCATCATCAGGGGAAGATAGGTGTGCTGAAACCTGGAACTCACATGGAACTTTCCAGAACCCCTCTAAGACCTGCCTAGTCACAATATCACACTAACCCTGGGCAACAGTAGGATATCAAAGATAAGCCCCAGTGGTAATCCAGTATTCCTCATTCAAAAGAAAACAGAAAATGTCTGGTGGTAGTGGCTCATGCCTTTAAGGCTACTATACTTGAGGCAATGGCATCTAGATCTCTTGAGTTTAAGGCCCAACTTGCTTACAAATCCAGTTTCAGGAAAACAAGAGCTGTTACACAGAGAAACAACTCTCCAAAAAACAAAGAAAGAAAAGTAAACTAAAGGGATGGAAGGAGGGAGGGTGAGGGAAACAGTGAGGGAGGGAAAGAGTGAGGGAGAGAGATAAAAAGAAAAATGAAACCTATCCAATTTCCTAATTGCATTGAATATTTGCATGTAAATCTCATTGGGCAGAATAATAAAGCGTGTGACACACTGCAGCTTTCAAATGTTTTAGGCATGAGTGGAAGATGAAAGTCTCACAGTTTCAAATTAAATCAGGGAGCAGAGACAGGGAATGACTTAGGCTAGACTCCTTAATCTCAAGGTCAAGGACAAGCCCAGTGATGGATTTCTTCGATTTTGATGGTAATTTTTGGTTGTCATGTTGACTCCATCTGTAATGAGCTACAACTCAGACATGGAGGTCACACGTGTGAGAGATGGTTTTTGATTGGTTTGTTCTGAAGAAAGAGGAGGGAAATAGACCTCCTATGAAGATGTACAGGTGGGAAGACACATGCCTTTAATCCAGATCTTGAGGCCAGAAGACACACTTTTATTTATGACCACGCCTACTTCTCGAGGACTATAAGAACATGGAAGAAGGATGCTCTTGCTCATTGCCCCCTTGCCCTTGCCTTGTTAGCAAGTCCATTCCTCCACTGGAATTAGAGAATATTTCTTTCAAAATCCAAATTCTGGAGTTTTGGACTTTGAGCTCACATGAAGCCATCGTTGGATTAGCTGGACTTCTGCCTGTAAGTCATTCCAATAACTCTGGGATATGGTG